CTCCAAACACATCACATTGAGATAAGGTAAATTTGGAGTGCGGGTGCTTGTGACATAATAGTAGCCTGTAACAGTTTCTGTCAACAGGACTGAGATGTGCTCAGCCCCTCAGGCAGTCCTGTGCCGTGTGGGCGGTGTGGGTAGGTCTAAGATGTTCCCACTCCCCTTGTGGAAGATAGAATTCAACTCTGAATCAGAGGACTTGGGCCACAAAGCCTTAAAAAGTGGTGTCAGCAGGAGAGAGCGGCTCGCTGGGAATTTGTTTTCTCTTATCTTCCAGCAGCTGTTTTATCTGAAATAAATGTTAAAGGTGTGGGGGATAATTACGTGCATACAATAGTCTCTAAAACAAACCAAGAAACAGTCTTGACTGAAAGATTTTGTGCCCAGGGGCAGGTTTGACTGAGGTATGCCCATATAAAGAAGAGAGAAACCAGAAGTACAAGGCTAGGACCATTTTACTGGGAGTCTGAGACAGTTTAAAATACATCAAAAAGGATGATGGCATTAAGTCACTGACCTCATTTGGGGTTTCATGACATCATAACTCTTAAGCCTACATCACTTCTCTTTTTATTTCTTCAATGGTTTCCAAGTACTGTGCTATCTGGTTGTTTCTCACTCCATGGTGAGATGAGGTCTGTGTCCAGCCATCTCCATCTCCTCTACTCAATCCAGCCAAATAAAGCCTTCTGTGAGCTTTGTTTGGGTGAGGAAAGTAATTGACCATGTGGACACACTATCTCATTGGATAATTTGTTCTGCACTGCTGGTAGCTAAATGTTTTAACAAGTTTATCAGTCCCACTTGCTTAACAAATATGTTAAAAACCGGAACGTTAACACTACAGGCCAAATCAAATAGGATGAGTGCTGCTGGCTTAAACATTTCCTTCTCACAGTAAACCTGAGTTCAATGAAGCTACAGAAGGCAAAGTGTACTTTTTAGGGTCAATTCAAGTCAATAAACATTTACTGTTAAAGATCCTTTTAACCCTCCTGGCCCAATACAGTAGGTTCTTTATTCAAGAGGGTGCTTACCTCCAAATCCTGAACTATTTCTAATTGAGATTATCAAAGGGCATGCATAGGGACAATGAATTGAAAAAGCTCCCTTTTAATTCCATGGTTTTCCTCTTTACTTTGTTTTTATTTTTTTTTTTTTGGTTTTATTTTTTTTATTTTTTTTGATTGTTTAATGTTTTAATTGATATTCAAATTCCTGTGGAAACTCAGAAATTGAGTATAAAACAGGACTGAAAACATGATTCTAAAACAATGAATAAGAACAATGTAAAGGGACCAGAATTATTAACTATAAGTCTGTGAAAAATGTCATACTTTGTTTTTAAAAGAAGAAAGAAAGAAAGAAAGAAAGAAAGAAAGAAAGAAGGAAAGAAAGAAAGAAAGAAAGGAAGGAAGAAAGAAAGGAAGAAAGAAAGAGAGGAAGAAGACAAAAAGAAAAGAAAAAATAACTTCAAGATCCAAGAAACAGCCTCATAAGTAGGAATAGAAATAACACTGGATTCAGACTTTTTTTCCTATCTGGTTAATATATTTAGGGCCATACTGGTCTACGTTCCCCAAGACCTTACTAACCAAGACTGTTACTCAGGCTCCATAGTCTGTTGGGTTGACTGGGTCTGGCTTACATGCTGGCTAGTGGGGAAAGAATTCTTTTGCACAAGGCAGAAGTTTCTAGGAAGGCAGGTAACGTAGGTGACTCTCACTAGGCTATCCCAACACATCTGCTGCTCAAAGTCCAGGTGCCCTCTGGACATTTCTTTCAGATGTTCACACTGGGGGTTCTAGGGATTGCTTGCAGAGTTTGGGAAAGCCTGAGATTCTGTAGTGAAAAAAAAAAAAAAAGAAGACATTTTGAAAACAGTATCTGGGGACAGGGAGGTTGATCTCTAGAGCATTTTTTTTTTGAAAGTGATAAGTAAGAGAGTCTTGGTAAGTGACATCCAAGTTTAATGCCAATTATAGTCCCCTGGATGACCTCCTGAAACCCATCCTTGCAGATGCTAGGGCATCTATGAAGTCTGAGTTAAGAGCCTCTGCTGTGGCCTGGGCCTGAATAGACACACTGGCTGTGTTGGCTAGATGTGTTGGCTACTCATCCTTGGAAGTTCCATGGACTGCGAATCACAGGAGGCCTTCTCAGGAAGATGGGGAAGGGCATCAAGTAGTGATACAAACATTTCCCAGGTACCTGTGATTGGCTTTTTGGACACATGGCACTGATTCACAGAGGGCAAGGATTTATCCCTGAAAGGCTCACTGTGATGCAAACTTCATTCATAAATTAAAAAATTATTTTTACCCAGTGAGGAGACCGCTTTATGTTTTTATCAAGGAGTCCAAATACCATCTACCTTAATTTTTGTTTTGTTTTTTTGAGGCAAAGTCTCATGTCCCTCAGGCTGGCCCCGAACTTGCCGTATGATTGAAGCTAACACTCAACTCCTGATCCTCCTGCCATGACCTTCCAGCGCTGGGATCATCAGTGTACACCAATCTGTTCCAGTCTGTCTGTCCCAGTCTGTTGGACTCCATCTTCATTAACATTGTCTTTCCTCTTCTTCCTGGTGGGAAGCTAGAGTTGCTTCTTTAACCGTTTCATCCCCATGGCAAGCCTGAAGTAGGTTATTTTCTGTACTTCCCACAGGTCCTATTGCTTGTCCTAGAGTCAGCCTGTGATAGATAGAGGTGTCTACCACTCTCCCTGGTTCTTGGTCAGCAGGTCCTACTTGTGAGGCTTGGGACTTTACTGCATCATTCAAACTCATCTCCATCCCCACTGAACAGACCACTGACTACACTACTTTATGCCTTGAACATTAGCTCTTTTGTTTAGGCCTTCGTACCAACTTCTAGATCTACATAGACACAAGGAATATAACTCTTCCACAAACCCAGCTCTCTAGTTTGCCCCAAACAAGTAGCAGGAACACTAACCTTCCCTCTTATTTGTAGGAAAGAACACCCACTTTTACACAACTCCAGGAACTCTTGACAGATGCCAGAGTACCCTGATCCCAGAGCTGATCAGATACACAGAAGAAATCCAGTCCCCGAAGTGGGAGCATGTGGAGATCCAAGAGCTAGTCCTGGGAATGCTCAGACCAAGAAACCCAGAGATACCAATAAATGTGACAGCTTCAATTCTCTTAATGTAGGACTGGATCCACAATCTGTTCAGTAGGGCACCTCACTGATCATAGCATCCAGGTGAGCCTGTTTTTGCCTGAGAGAAAGCTCTGGACTGAGGGTAGGTGAGCAGAGAATAGTTTAGAAGAGGGACCATGGGGCTAGACCATGGAGGTTGAAGATACCTTGAGGGAGCCCACACTAGTTGTGGGTTATCAGGTGACTTTGTGAGAGTAAGAGAAGGATTCTACTCCACAAGGGTCTATCAAGGGAAAAAGAAAGACCTCTCCTGCAGCCACTGTAGCTGACACTGGAGAGTCTGTTCTCATTGTATATCTTTAGGCCTTTAGGCTACTGGAGTTTGTCCATTGCTTTGATGAACAAATGGTCTTTCTTTTCTTTTAATCAAATCTTTTCATCATGATTGCAAAGGAGAAATCTTGGTCAAATTACAGATTGTCCCAGGAAGAACCTTTCACATCTCTGCCTATGAGTTTGATTTAAGTTGAACTGAGCAGGTACAGGATGTACTGGCGCCAGCATCACACTCTCAAACAGTTTCCTTCACTTGAGAGGATTATCTTGGAGCCCCCATGATAGAGCCCCAAACAGGCTTGTCAAGTGTGTGGTTTATCTAAAAAATCTTGTGAACTCCTATTGCCTCCGTATAGCAACTTTAGGGTGTATGGGGGGAGGAGCTTAGGGAAGGGAGGGGCTTCCTAGGGAGTTCTTATGTTTAGTCTTAATCTTCTGCCAATAAGTTGCTTTCCTCTGTGTGGTTGAATTGGAAGATTGGGCAGTGAGTTATCAGAATGTATACAGGAAAAACGTGTCCTTACTTCTAAGACCTCAAATACTGGCGAGCTGCAAGTCCCTGGCTGAAAAGTAAGTTCTGGGCTCTTGGATTTGAGTTTTCTGAGTTATGTGGAAGTCAAAAAAAAAAAAAATGAGCCTTTTAAGAACTGAGATTCCTGCTGTCTCAGAGTTGGCTTGTGTTCAAGCTACCTTCTGCAGGGAAGAAACCTCTACAGTCCTATCTGGAGACTGGAACTTGGTGGCAAATGGTTCAGGTTGGAACTACAGCTTCCCTGCTTGCAAACTGTGTTCACAATGTAACCCTCTAACCTTCAGTTTAGATCCTTGGTTAATTTTCTTCTGAATTCTGTTGATTTTGGAACATATACTATATTCAACTTTCTCCATCTGTGGTCATGGTTGGGAACCTGGTGGTACTTTGGCCTCCTCTAATATTTATAGCTGTGATTTTTTTTCTTTTCTTTCATTGACTTGGTTAGAATTGTTAGACTAGTATTGACTAGCAAAAGTGACAACTGGCTTTTATCACAGCCAAGCTGTATAGGAGCTGGTCACTCTATACTGTTGCCTAGGATTTCTTTATATTATCGGCTATTTCCATCTATATACTACCTACATATTATCATCTATGTGTTGTTCTGGCAGGTAACATTTGTCAGATTAAGAAAGCCTCTTGAAATTTTTTTTAAAAATGATGGATGCATTTCAAAATTTCCCACATTCTGACATCCACTACGTCTGAATATTCTGGCGACTGCTTTCCTTTTCTTCTGTTAAGACAACCGTGCATTGCTAGCGTGTACATTAACCATTAACTGTCTTCTTTTATAAATCTAAATCTAAGATGAATTTGTTTTTAATGTCGTCATGTTTGACTTGATCATATTTCTCTTGGGATTTTTTTTTCTTTTTCATCTAAACCGGTAAGTGATATTCCTACTCATTTTCTTGCAGGGTGTCTGCGTCAGGATCACCAGGGCAAATTCTAATGAACTCTGTTGCTTGAAGGAGAGGCTGGAAGGGCTGGAGGCCATGCTGAAGGAGTTTCATTTCTCCCTGTCCCTGGTCCTGGTGTTTGCCTGTGGTCTGCTTTACCAGCTCACCCTCAGGTCTCAGTGCTTCTTTGCTTGCCTGCCCCCTTTCACAGCTCCACAGGGGCTGGAAGGCCTCCTGAGGAATGGACGAAGCATCGTGTTTATAGAGACCTCCGAGAGAGTAGAGCCACCTCCACTGGTCTCCTGTGCTGTGGAGTCTGCTGCTAAAATCTACCCTGAGCAGCCCATCATCTTCTTCATGAAAGGACTCAGCAAGGCCACACAGCTGACTTCAAATACCAGCTACCCAGCCTTCTCCCTCCTCTCGGCCATTAACAATGTTTTCTTTGTGCCTTTGGACATGAAAAAACTGTTCGAAGACACACCCTTGTTTTCGTGGTACACCAAAGTAAGTATTCAAAGCACTGAGAAAGTCTGTGTAGGGAGGGAGAAACAGAACCTGTAGAAAATGGGTCCAGTACACTCACTGTAGACAGGCAAACTGAGTGCAAGGACTCAGAAAGAGTTGACTCTAGCACTCAGACTACTGGGTTTCCACTTGCGCCCAGTTCAGCCTGTGGCATTCTGGTTCGGGTAAATGAGCGACATCTCAGTCTCGCTGGCGATTGGACTGGTCCCTTTGCATCGAGGCTTGTTTCTTTGAGGCTCTTTGGTATATGGGAGGCTTTTCTTAACTGAAGGGATTCTTAATCTTTTCTAGGCATATGGAGGCCTTATTTTTCATTATAACTTAAAACACACCTATGTTAAACCTTTTCAACACCAGAGGCAGAAATGAAGCGATATTTAAAATGAAAGTGATAGAGGTCTAAATTTCAGGAAGAATTGGTGTCGTGGTGCTCCATGGGATTGGGTTGGATTGAGATGGTGGAGAAGCTCCCAGAACCCCTAGGAATCTGATGGCCCTCCTCTTAGCAGTATGCAGTTAACAAGGAAATAATATTTCGGTATGATGTTGGTCTCACAGAGGATGCGGAGTTGGGTGGTGCTTAAGGGAATTAGAGAGCAGTTCTCCACTGGACAGGGCTTAACTGAGCTTTTCACTGAAGTCACATGGAAAGAATAAGACAACCTGGAATGAAAGAGTCCTCTCCACTCAACCGACTGCAGCATTAAAAAGAACCAAGGAAGCCTTCATGGCAGACACACCAGTAAACCCACTACTTGAGAGTCAGAAATACGGAGATCATGGATTTAAAGTCATCTTTCGCTTCATAGCAAGTTGTAGGCTAGCCTGGGCTACTTGAGATTTAACAAAAAATCAAAAATCAACAAAAAAAATTATAGAAATCAAAGACAAATCAAGCCCCCACCTCCCCACTGCAACCAACAAACAACAAAAAACCTAAAGAGACTGTATGTTTACAACAGACACTTGAATATGACTGAAAGAGAAGCGACTTTCAAAAATGTTGCTCTTATAAAGAAAGTTATTCTTAAAAACAGAAATAATTTAAAAGTTGGTGTCATAACATCCACTTGCCGTAGTGAAGTTCTATCTAAATTCTAACTCACCCTGGACCAAACGTCTGCAAATATTTAAGCTTTGTGAGCCAAGTAGCAAAAGAGAGGTTATTGTATCTGTCGTTGTGTTAACTTACAAGGGCTCCTCTAACACTTGATCTTTGGCTTGTATTTACCCTCTCAGCTCTGGAAGCCACAGGGGCTGTGTGGCAGGACTGTCCCTTTTTTTTATATATAAGCCTCTGGTAGCCAAGCTGTTCCTTGGCCTGGAGCCCATCCGTCCGCTAGCTGCCTCCTTCTTCAAACTCCCTTTGCCTTTGTGTGTGTAGCGTCTCCACCCACCTCACTCTTTAAATGACATCTGTGATATTTTCAAGGACCCATCAAGGTAATCCAGGATCATCACCTCATCTCAATGTCCTTAACTTAATTACATCTGCAAAGATCCTTACCCCATATTTACAGGTTCCAGGAATCAGGGCCTGATGTCTTTGGGTGGTCATTATTCAGCCTACTACAGCGTAGTCATATAGGAGAAAAAAAAAAAACCCTCTCCTCCCCTGCCCTGTCTTGCCCCAATAACTGGGCTCTGGTGGGTTGGTATGCGACTGGCAGGCTTGAAGCTAGTTGCTGTCTTTTTAGTCAGACTAAGCTCTAAGACTGCTGAGACCCTTCTAGTAGATTAGGCTGGCAGGGGTTGGGGTAGAGGGCAGCTTCTGAGGAGCAGTTTCTCTTTAGGGTTCCAGTAACTTTTAGAGGCTAAGGTCCCATCTGTTATAAGAGACTGAAAATGTCAAACTGGGACTGGCCAGGAGGAAGTGGAGTAACTCAGGTGTATTAAGTGCTCATCTGCTGCTAGTATTGGCAGCCAGGGTTTCTGGAAAGTGGGTGTGACTGTCCCAGGAACATCAGGGCATGTAACAGGCCAGGAAGGCAGGTGCCAGGAATAGAGGAGACAGATAGCTTGGTCCCTGTGGCTCTTAGCTGCTGGAGGATGCCTCAGAACTGCACAACTTACCCCTTAACTGAGCTAGACTGTTCTCATCTAAACTGTATTTTGCTCCTTGGGAAAAGTAATCTCAAAGCTTATTATTTTGGGAGATGGTGCACGCTACATCTTCTCACAGATGAATTACTTAAGAAGAAGATCCAGCTAGCTGGTGGAGGCACATGCATTTGGTCGTGGCACTTGGGAGGCAGAGTCAGGAGGACTTTGAGGCAAGTCTGGTTTACAGCTAGAGTTTCAGGACAGCCAGGGCTACATAGTGAGACCCTATTTTTAAAAAATAGTAAAACCTCATTATGAGGGCTGGAGAGATGGCCCAGCAGTTAAGAACACTGACTGCTCTTCCAGAGGTCCTGAGTTCAATTTCTGGCAACCACATGGTGGCTTACAATCATCTGTAATGGGATCCGATACCCTCTTCTGGTATATCTGAAGACAGTTACAGTGCACTCATACACATAAAATAAATAAATTGAAAACAAACAAACAAACAAACAAACAAACCTCATATAGTTCTGATCCAAGGAAACCTTAGCTCTATTTAGAACCCTCTTTCAGTGTGATACAGAAATAATATCTTGGAACTAAAATCCTTTGGAGCAAACCTTGGGTTGTGCTAAGATGGATCTAGATTTTATGTCATGTTAGATTTTAGGAGCAAAGCGAACCCTGAGGTGCAGATCCCTTAGGCACCCGCTCCATCTGAGTCTGTAGGACTCTGTGCTGGAGTGTGTAACCATAGCTTTCATACCATGATACTCTTGAGGGAACTGGGCCATGGCATGTTCTGTCCCAGATGGGCCCGGAGAGAGATGGGGGCACATGTTAGAGAAGATCCGTTGTGCCATCATTTCCTAAGGGCTGCTGGGTTTGCTGCGAGAACCCTGCAGGCAGTTGGAACTCTTGAAGAAGCCCAGAACCAGCATGTTCATTGTTCTCAGCCCTTCCTCCACTCACACTGTCTCAGGTGGACAGCAGTCGGAAGCTCACATCCAAGGCAGGACTTCTCTTTAGCCTCTCTGAGGCAGGGCTTCTCTTCAGCCTCTCTGAGGCAGGGTTTCTCTTCAGCCTCTCTGAGGCTTCTGGTGTTCTATGTCTCTTTGTTCAGCCACAATCCTTACGATCCCGTTATACTGATATTTACTAAAATGTAGTCTCTTGTGAATGAGTGAATATCTGGAGATAAGATGTTTACCCCACCCCCACCCCATCCCCATGCCTGGGGACAAATGACAAAAGCATTGGGTCCCTCGTTTTCTCATTCGAAACTTAGAATGAGCATTCATCCCATCTGTGAGGATTTGCATAGATTACAAAGTACTCTCAGAATGATCACTGATACATGCTGGCTATTGCTGTTTCTGAGGTTTCAGGAATTGTAAATGGTTTTCTGTAACTGTGAGGTTTTCTACAAAGACTTTTGTTAGTTTGCTTCTGTTCTTCATAGTAGAATCTTTTCTTTCATTCATTAATTAACTAATTAATCAGTTCACTTTACATCTTGATTATTATAGTTCCCCTCCCTCCTCTCCTCCTAGTCCAACCCTCACAACCCTCTCCCTCTATTTCCCCCTTCCCTTCTCCTCAGAGAAGTGGAGAGCCCCCCATGGGTGCCAGCCTGCCCTGCCACATCAAGTTGCAGCAGGACTAGGTACATCCTCTCCCACTGAGGCCAGACAAGGCAGCCCAGCTAAGGAAAAGGGATCCAAAGGCAGGCAACAGTGTCAGAAACAGCCTTCACTCCAATTGGTAGGGGACCCACATGAAGACCAAGTTGCACACCTGTTACATACGTGTAGGGGGTCTAGGTTTAGCCCTTGCATGCTCCTTGGTTGGTGGTTTAGTCTCTGTGAGCCCCATGAGCCCAGGTTAGTTGACTCTGTAGGCCTCCTTGTGGTTTCCTTGACCCTTCTGGCTCCCTCAACACCCCACCCCCACCCCCGGCAGAACTCTTCAACAAGACTCCCAGAGCTTCTCCTAATATTTGGCTGTGGGTCTCTGCCTCTCTTTCTGTCTGCTGCTGGATGAAGCTTCTCAGATGACAGTTGTGCCAGGCTCTATCTGCAAGCATAGCAGGGTATCATTAATAGTGTCAGGATTGGCCACTCTGCTTCGGCCTGGAGCCAATATGCTTCTGACTTAGGGCCCTTGCACTTGTTGACTGCTCCACTTAGAACTTTCTCCCAGATGTGTCTGAGGGGCACACATCTGCATGCAAGTTTCTGCTAAAACCTAATGTCACATTGTGCACCCTCTCGCCCCCTCAGTCATCCCCTCACCTGGTCTTTCTGTTCCTTTCATAGTCCCTATCCACATGTATGCAGTATGTGTCATATCTCCTCCCAGTGGGGACGCTTGCCTGTTGGTTTGCTGCTGTGTTTTTTAGCAGTGCTCAGTGCACAGTAAGTAGATGCTCAGTGAACTTCATTGAAGGACCTTCCAAGCAAACAAAGGCACATACATACATGTATCCTCAGATCCCCCCCCCCATATCTTAACTAGTGTTGACTTTTTTTCTAAGTATCAATCTTCCACATTTTGAGGACTTAAAAAAAAAACATCCTTCACAGTTTTGTATTTGTGATTAGTGTAACCCACGTGGAAGAATGACACACTCACTGCTCAATGTGAAATTCCAGATGAATTTCACATCTATTTTTCCACTCCTTTGATGAAAGAAAATAATTTTTCTTTTTGACATCTTTAATGGCTGCTAAAAAAAATCTTTGCATTGCTGCTAATTGCTACAAACTCTTCAGGGAAAATTTTTGGGGTGGCGGTAAAGGTAGATTGAAAATTTTACAGTTTGGCTTGCAGTCAAATAGGTTTTGGGGAATCAGCTTGTTGCATTCTTTCCTAGCCAACCTTCGTGTTTGGGGGTTCATTTGTACCTGTTCCCATAGATCAACAGCAGAACAGAGAAACACTGGCTCCATGTCAGCTCTGATGCATCCCGCCTGGCCATCATCTGGAAGTACGGTGGTATCTACATGGACACTGATGTCATCTCCATCAGACCCATCCCGGAGGAGAACTTCTTGGCAGCCCAGGGCTCTCGACAGTCCAGTAATGGGGTATTTGGGTTCCTTCCCCACCACCCCTTTCTATGGGCCTGTATGGAGAACTTCGTTGAGCACTATAACTCAGGCATTTGGGGCAACCAAGGTCCCCAATTGATGACAAGGATGTTAAGGGTGTGGTGTAGACTTAAAGACTTCCAAGGGTTGGGTGACCTGAAGTGTTTGAATATTTCCTTTCTTCATCCCCAGAGATTTTACCCCATCCCTTATCCTTCATGGAGGCGCTACTACCAAGTGTGGGACACAAAGCCTACCTTTAATAACTCCTATGCACTGCATTTGTGGAACTATATGAATAAAGAGGGCAAGACTGTAGTTAGAGGAAGCAACACTCTGGTGGAAAATCTCTATCAAAAGTACTGTCCTAAGACTTACAGGGTTCTGATCCAAGGTGCAGGAGGGACAGTGACTAAGGATCCAGGTAAAGGTACCAGATAGAGCAACGTTGCTGCCATGGGAAACTAGATGCTTCCTGGGCTGTCCGACTCTCTCTTGGTCTATATTGTCACTAGGGGATATGTGCTAATCCACATTTCCAGGTTTAACTTGGTCTGGTCACAATAGCAAGCTTCCAAAGAAAAGCTGCTGTAAACGTAGAAGTTGATTTATCTATCATGAAACAGCAAGTCTGAGGGCAGATAATTTAGGATAGGTTTATTAATGGTGGCCGTTGGACACCCAGGCTAGAATCTTTCTGTTTGTTTTCCTGCTGTCTGTAGTCCATGCTCATGTGGCTGCTGGACCTGCAGCCTATCATCCTGGCTATTCCAGACAGTAGGATAGCAGAAGAAGGAAAGAAAATGCATTTCATACGACTTTATGCAAGTACTGAATAAGTGCAAATACCATGTATTCTTATATCTCCCTGGCTAGATTGTAGCTGCAAGAGAGGCTGGTATGTAGCAAATAAGGTCTGTTTACTGTTCTATTTTATTAAATATTGTTACGATTAATTTTAACATCTGTAGAATGAAGGGACCTGGTTGCTGTTGTTGTTTTGACTATTGAGACAAGGTCTCACTATGCAGATCAGGATAGCATCCAATTCACAGAGATCCTCCTGCCTCTGCCTCCCTCATGCTGGGATTAAAGGCATGTGGCATCATACCTGGCCTTTGATTTAGACATTTGTATTAATCCATTTTCTGTCACTATAACAAAATACTAAAACTGAGAAATTTATTAAGAAAAATTTACATTTTTTTTTCCAAACACAAAATTGAGATGATGTCTTATGAAACTGTATCCATCTGTTGCCTTTCATTCTTAAAGTTCCTTTTTCAAGAATCATGGCTCTGATAGTCTGATTAAAACAACTGGTGATCAAGGGTACACAGAAAAACCCTGTCTCAAAAAACAAACAACTCCTCCCCCCGAAACAAAACAACCCTGGTGAAATGGCTCACTGGGCAAAGGTGCTTGCTGCCAAACCTGAGGACTGAGTATGACCCAGATAGTGGAAGGAGAGAGCCAACACCTGCAAGCTGACCTCTGACCTCCACTTGTGTGCTGTGGTATATAAGTACTTGAGTGCACGCATGCGCATACACACATAAACACACGCACGCACACACACACGCACACGCACTCCACACACTCCACACACTGAAGAAATGTAAAAGAAACCAAACAACCCCAAACATTCGCAAGTCCTGTGTCCTGACTCAGGTTTATTTATTCCATTACATGCTGGACTGATATCTGACTCCTCAGTCAGGCTGCACGTCCCTCTCCCCCACGATGATATCCCTGAGACACCGAACTGTAGTGTTCAGCTCTTCACAGATAAGAGTTTCTTGGTTATCCCTGTTGGAAAGAAGCAGGGTCATACATGTTAGCTCTCGTTGTTGAATCTGAGGAGTGTCGTCCAGCGAACATCCTTGAACACAAAAGTTTGAGAGACTCGAGGGAAAACACTTTAAACTTCTCAAAAATCTATACTGCTTCCAGGGAGATCAAATAGGTCAACAGCAATGTCATGCATATTTCTTTATGCTGGGTTGTGTTTGTGTGCAGTTTTGAGGCAATAATGATAATTTGATGTTTATAGAAAGTCCTTTGTTTTGCCGTAAAATGAGTTTTTGATTAATAAGCATAGAATAAATTAATAACTTATGTAAGAAGTACTATTTGTATAGTAGTAAGGAGTGAGTTAAAATGCTGTAGTGGTTGTTCTGAGGAAAACTGAGCAATGCAAGTTTCCTTGTTTGTTTTGGAAAGGTTGATTGTTACCTGTGTTTAACCAGATACATATTTTCTTATTCTTATTATGTAATAGCATGCAATAACATGCTATTTTTTTATGTTGGGGTATTTTTCTACTTTTATTAATTTGTAGCCACTCCATATGTTAAAAACAATAATACTTTAATATTATGTTGCATTTTTTAGTCTGTTAGTTTTTGATTTTACTATTTATTAAAAATTAAAAATTATTCTTTAGTAATTTCATTCATGAATACAATGCATTTAGATTTTATCTACCCTCTGTTGTTCCCCTGTAATTCTCCTTCTCCCTCCTCCTTCTCTTCTCCCTCCTCCTTCCTCCTCCTCCTCTTCCTCCTCTTCTTCTCCTTCTCCTTCTCCTTCTTCTCCCTCTCCTTCTTCTTCTTGTTTTTCTATCTACTGAATCCAATTAGTGCTGCCTGTATGTGCATGGTTTTGGGCAGCATCCACTGAAACATGAGCAACCTGTAACAGACCATATGGCTGAAGAAAATGAACTCTCCCTATCCCAGAATCCACCAACTGACAATAGGTCCTCATGAATCCCTTCTTTCTCCTGCTGGAGTGCTGCCTGGGTTGATCTTGGACCAACAACTGCAGTTCCTGTAAACTCATGAATGCTTTGGCCCTATCATATCCAGAAGACATTATTTTACAATGATCTTCCCTGATCTTTGGCTCTTAAAATATTTTAGTGTTCACAAGGCAGAGGTGGGTGTATCTCTGTGAAATTGGAGAGCAGCCTGCCTGGCCTACACAATGAGCTTCAGGTCATCCAGGCTACATAATACGACCATGTCTTAAACATTAAAGAAATGAAAAAGGATTAAGTATTTACTTAAAAGACAGTCTGATACTATGACCCTTTAGCAAAGCAATTGTAGTCGGGTGTTACTTCTTCAAGTTTGCAGTGCCAGGCATGAGTGCCCTCCTCTGGAGTGTACCTAAAGCAGCCTAAATTCAACTAAAAAGTTGTCGGCTACTTCCAACATGATATATTCATGCCATTATTGCACCAATGGGTGTATCTTGCCAGACAGATCATTATAGTAACTCATAGGGTTATAATAGGCATGTCTGGGTAAGACTATTGATGGCTTTTCTTTCCCAGCAGTCTAGAAAGCAACTTTTGGCACTATGAAGATAGCCAGCAGGCAGGAGACTTCAGACCAGTACTACTTGATTTCACCTATGCCCTAGGATCAGATTGTGGTGTTTCAGCAATTAGGTTTTACCATCAAGTTCTGGTGGGTAACCAAGAGCACTGTTAAGCTCTTCCAGAGAGCCCTGGCCAGGCTATGCTCAAAGATTGGCTCATAGACAGGGTCTTAAGTGTAATTTCTGAATTAGTAGCAGGTTTGGTATGGTCTCTTTGATCATGCTGGCACAGAGATTCTTGATTTGGGAGCTTAAGTTGTCTTCATTTTTATTAACTTTTAGTGTTTATAATGTTTTACAATTTTGAATATAGACCATAAGGCAGAACAGTATTGATAGCATTGGGCCAGCCTATGTTCTGTCATAAAACATCCTGGCCAGTTTCAGGTTGTGTTAAAGTCATAGCTATATTGAAATATTATTTACACTCTTAGAATTCTAGATCAGATACATTTAATGAATTAAATGCTATATTTGCAATTCAAAGCCACTCTCAAGCTTGAAAAGATGAAACTGAAGTTCTAGGCATAAAGTCACCGAGATGGGTCTGTCCTGATCATGTCTCCATCACTGTCAGTCAAGTGAGTAACAGATCAATCAGCACTCTTCCTGGTCTTTTAGGCTTTTTTTAAATTTTTTTATTTTTTTTTATTTTTTTGGTTTTTCAAGACAGGGTTTCTCTGTGTAGCCCTGGCTGTCCTGGAACTCACTCTGTAGACCAGGCTGGCCTCGAACTCAGAAATCTGCCTGCCTCTGCCTCCCAAGTGCTGGGATTAAAGGCGTGCGCCACCACTGCCCGGCTGGCTTTTTTGAACCCTGCATTTCAATTGTTCTTTCAGAAGACACCCTTTTCCCTGAGAAAAGAGGTCTCTTCTGGAAGGGAAAGATTTCCTTCAAAGTTGATGTTTTCAGGCAAAGAGCTAAAGTATAAGTTCTAGATAAGGAAGAGGTCCCCTCAGGTCCAGCCACTCCATACAGGTGAGCATGCAGGCCTATTGTTGCCAGATTCTTGGATTTTTGTTTTTTGAGACAGAGTTTCTCTGTGTAATAGACCTGGCTGTCTTGGAACTCACTCTGTAGACCAGACTTGCCTCAAACTCAGAGATCAGCCTGCCTTTGCTTTTGGAGTGCTAAGATTAAAGGTATGCACCACTACTGCCTGGCCAGATTCTCAAAATTTTCAAGAGAAATGATCAGACTACATTTTTGGTAACCTCTCCCTCTGACCATGGGCCTTTGCATCCCTGCGTCAATGCTATGTAAACTCACAAAGCACCTTTGACCTAAAGCAACCTCATAGATCTTTCCTGGTCATGCCAGGGGTTTGGATAGGTGCTGGCTTCTTTCTTATAATGGCAGCAATTTGGGGGGCTGCTCAGGCATTTCTTACTATTTTCTGTGATCCCTGTGTGAGGTGTAGGGCAGGGTATATCTGTGGTAAGATCTAAGCTGGGCCAAGAGTGGAAATTTGGTTCTAGGCTTAGGAGATAAAGGGCTGCAGAACAAGGTGGAGACCATAGATATTAAAACCCACCCCTCTTCTCTTCAGCCAACAGTCATGACCTCAGCAGTTCAGGGCAGCAGTGATCTCCAGCCAATCTCCTTTCCCTGGACCTAGACACGGAGTAACCAAGGTCCTCACTGAGGCCGCCATATTGGATGCTGCAGCAGCAGAAGGTGACAGTTATTTAGTGTTTGTGATTTCTCACAAAAAAACCCAAAAAAACCCCAACCAACCAACCAAACAAACAAAAAAACAAAACTAAACAAAACCAAGCAAGCAAGCAAGCAAGCAAGCAAGCAAGCAAGCAAAATAAAAACCACAGACCTTGCACGTGCTATGCAGTCAAGACTTTCCTGTATCAAATGTTGAACTGAGGCCCAGGGAAAGGGAAATAAATACCTGAGCATCTCATGTACGGGCGTCTTGGTCAGCTAAGGATGAGGCTTCGGCTTTCCGCCAAGGTTAACTTGGGTGCATATCAAGTTTGCCTTAGCAAAGGAAACTAACTGGTTTATACATGGGGAAACCGAGGCTGGTGGAAATCACACACATACACAAGTGTACACACAGGTACCATCAGCTACCCTCTGTAAACTCTGAGGATTGTAGTGAGAAGACAGCCAGGAAGCCAATAGGCAAGAATGCTCACTGTGAGCCCAGAAGGACACACCATGGATTGCCCAGGCCTGAGCTGAGCCTAGGGATATTTTAGCTAATTTAGTGTTCATTAACAACTCTGCTAATTCAAGTTATTTTTCTTACTTTATAGCTAAGGTAACTGTAGTTAAGGAAAACTGAAGGTCACAGAGGTTAAAGTGACATTCCCGGGGTTACACAGTTTGGAGATGAGGAGTATGGACTTGTCTTTGATTTCAAAGCCTGGACACTTTGCTCTCAGCTAGTGAAAAGGGTATCCTGGTCAGAAGAGAGGAAAAGCAAGATGTCCCATCAGAGGACCTGACTTCTAGACAGCCTTACTTGTTCCTTCTGTCTGATCCCATTTCCCCTCTTACATTTAAAACCTTGTGGTAAAATAGACGCAACATAAGATTCACTGTTTTAACCATTCAAGTATAAAACAGGACATTAAACATTTACATTGTCATGTAGCCATCTCTGCAGGCATCTCTGAAAGCTTCTCACCATTTTTTCCCTACTGAAACTTCTCACTCATCAAGAACCTTCTTAGGCCTCCATCTCTATGGCTTCCAGTAACCACTCTCCAACATTTGTCTCTATGAACTTGACTCTCTTTGGTAGCCCTGTAATAGAATCACACGCCCTTTCCCTTTTATGGCTAGCTTCTTTTACTTTGTATATTGGTTAGCTTTCTTTCTTTCTTTCTTTCTTTCTTTCTTTCTTTCTTTCTTTCTTTCTCTCTTTCTTTCTTGTAGATTAATACATTTTTTATTGGATATTTTCTTTATTTACATTTCAAATATTATCCCCTTTTCCAGTTTCCACCCTGGAAACCCCCTATCCCCTTCCCCCTTCCCCTGTTTCTATGAGGGTGTTCCCTCACCCACCCACCCACTCCTGCCTCCCAGCCCTCAAATTCCCCTACACTGGGGCATCGAGCCTTCACAGGACCAAGGGCCTCCCCTCTCATTGATGCTTGACAAGGCCATCCTCTGCTACATATGCAGCTGGAGCCATGGGTCCCTCCATGTGTACTCCTTGGTTGGTGGTTTAGTCCCTGAGAGTTCTGGGGGTTCTTGTTGGTTGATATTGTTGTTCTTCCTACGGGTTTGCAAACCCCTTCAGCTCCTTCAGTCCTGTCTCTAACTCCTCCATTGGGGAACCCATTGGGGACCACTTGCTCAGTTCAATGGTTGGCTGCAAGCATTCACCTCTGTATTTGTCAGATTCTGGCAGAGCCTCTCAGGAGACAGCTATAACAGGCTCCTGTCAGCATGCGGTTCTTGGCATCCACAATAGTGTCTGCGTTTGGTGACTTTGATGGCCTTTCCTTCAGTCTCGGCTCCACACTTTGTCTCTGTATTTGCTCCCATGAGTACTTTGTTCCCCTTTCTAAGAAGGGCCGAAGCACCCACACTTTGGTCTTTCTTCTTCATGAGCGTCATGTGGTCTGTGAATTGAATCTTGGGTTGTCTGAGCTTTTGGGCTAATATCCACTTATCAGTGAGTGCATACCATGTATGTTCTTTTATGATTGGGTTACCTCACTCAGGATGATATTTTCTAGTTCCATCCATTTGCTTAAGAATTTCATGAAGTAATTATTTTTAATAACTGAGTAGTATTTCATGTGTAAATGTACTACGTTTTCTGTATCCATTCCTCTGTTGAAGGACATCTGGGTTCTTTCCAGCTTCTGGCTATTATGAATAAGGCTTCTATGAACATAGTGGAGCATGTGTCCTTGTTATGTTTCAGAATCTTTTGGGTATATGCCCAGGGTAGTATATCTGGGTCCTCAGGTAATATTATGTCCAATTTTCTGAGGAACTGCCAGGCTGATTTCCAGAGTGATTGTACCAGCTTACAATCCCACCAACAATGGAGGAGTGTTCCTCTTTCTCCACACCCCCGCCAGCATCTGCTATTACCTGAGTTTTTGATCTTAGCCATTCTGACTAGTGTGAGGTGGAATCTCAGGGTTGTTTTGATTTGCATTTCCCTGATGACTAAGGATGTTGAACATTTCTTTAGGTGCTTCTCAGCCATTCGATATTCCTCAGTTGAAAATTCTTCGTTTAGCTCTGTATCCCATTTTTAATAGGGTTATTTGATTCTCTGGAGCCTAATTTTTTGAGCTCTTTGTATATATATTGGATATTCGCCCTCTATTGGATGTAGGATCGGTAATCGGTTAGCTTTCTATGAAAGAATCTCCTGTCTTTTTTCCTGAAGCAGGTGCTGGGATCTCACTATCACCCTCAAGGTCTATACCTTATAACCTGAAGTCTCCCTACTAGGCCTCATCTCTTAAGGTCCACCAAACTCTCATAGCACCATGCTGGGGACCAAGACTTTACCACATGGACCTTTGGGGACTCAGTAGCAGTGATGAAACAGTAGCAGTGATGTTATTAAGAATGGGGACTCCTGCCGGGCGGTGGTGGTGCGCACGCCTTTAATCCCAGCACTTGGGAAGCAGAGACAGGCGGATTTCTGAGTTCGAGGCCAGCCTGGTTTACAGAGTGAGTTCCAGGACAGTCAGGGCTACACAGAGAAACTCTGTCTCGAAAAACAAAAACAAAAACAAAAACAAAAACAAAACAAAAGAATGGGACTCCTGGGCTGGAGAGATGGCTCAGCGGCTAAGAGCACTGACTGCTCTTCCAGAGGTCCTGAGTTCAATCCCCAGCAACCACATGGGGGCTCATAATTATCTGTAATGGAAGTGCTGGCAGTCATGGGAGTAGAGACCTCACAGCTGGATTTAGTGCCCTTACAGAAAAGTCTTTTGAGGACTACTAGATCCTTCTACCATGTTGATCAGAAAATAGGTGCTCAGCAAAGACAGAATCTGCTGATGCCTTGATCTTAGATTTCCTAGCTTCCAGAAGCAGGCGGAAGGGGTTTCTGTTTAGTCTGTAGTATTGTAGTACAGTATTCTAAATGGACTAAAGGTAAACCTAGTTCATGTAATAACACACGTCAGTATTTCCTTCCTCGTTAAGGGTGAATGATATTCCATTGCCTGTGTAAACCACACGTTCTTGGCCAATCAGCTGCCAACGGACACTTGGATTATTTCCACATTTTGGCTGTTGTTAAAAATATTATTATTTTGTGTGTGTGTGTGTGTGCCTCTATATGCCCAAATGTCAGAGGACAACTTTCAGGAGTTGTTTCTTTCCTTTCACCATGTGGGTTACAGGAATTCAACTCAGGACATCAGACTTGGTGACAAAGTCCTTTACCTGCTGAGCCATCTTGACAGCTCATTAAATATAAGTGTCCAAATGTCTGTTTGGGGTCTTGCTTTAAGCTTCGTTGGATATAGGGCTAGACATGTCTTATTTATTTTCAGTTGCTGTGAAGAGACACTACGACCAAGCAACTCATACAAAAGAAAGTAGTTAACTGGGGGCTTGCTTACAGTTTTAGAAGCTTAGTTCACTTATCATAATTGCAAGGAGTATGGCAGCAGGCAGGCCTCAGTGCTGGAGAAGTCGCTGAGAGAGCTGCATCCTGATCCATAGGATGGGCTGGGAGATTGGGTCTGACATGGGTTTTTGAAACCTCAAAGCCCACCTCCAGTGACACACTTTCTTCAACAAGGCCACACCTCCTAATCCTTGTAATATTTTCAAATAGTGCTGAATACGGCAAGCCATTTTTTTTCCCATAGTGGTAATACAGTTTTGAATTCCCATCAATAACTCACAGAAATTTGAGTTTCTTCCCACCTTTGGCAACAACGCTTATTCTCAGCACTTTTGTTCTTTCTGTCCCAAGATGCAGCGCTTGGCATATTGAGGCTGTGGTGACAGAAAGGTCCTAAGATACACCAAAACCTCCCTGAACTTAGTCATGAGATGAGACACCCAACGAGAAGGAATCAGGGACTTATAATCAGGAGAGAGAAAATAATACCCTCAACTCCTGCCTGAGCTTTGGATAAGGGATCTGGAAGGTGACTGCCATCTGATCAAATTGGAGTTACACCTATGGGTCTCCTAATGTGGGCTCAAGTCAAATTCCTTTAGTTTTGCGGGCTTGCAGACAGTAGCTCCATGCTGCCATGGGCAAGATGTAGAGTGAAGGGATGGCGACAGAGTCTGTCCTGCCATTCATCAACGCCTGGGAACTTGGGTGCTTTATTTCCTTAACGGATTCAAAGAAGCACGCCCTTCTTTCCCCCCCCATCCCTTGCAGCTCTAAAAATAGCTGTTCCCTGGCGCTGGGGAGAGGCTCCGCCTCTGCTGTGGGTGGATGGGATGGGGTAGGGGTGGGGATGGGAAGCACCGCAGACCCCAGGCCTGAGCTACTGGCGCGGAGAGAGGCGTTGGGTCCGCGTGTTTGCCAGCATCCTCCGGCTGCACTGCAGATGGAGTGAGTCTGGACCTGCGGATGGGGTGAGTCGGGACGTGGCAATCCCCAAGACCTCCAGTTATCAGCCTCTGCTCCGGCTGACCCCCAGACTGACCCAGGCCTCCCCGGAAAACTATGCCTGGAATCTAGCCGGGAGCCGCGGGAGGGAGCGAGGCTCCAGGCCGAGCTACTTGGCCGCTGCGCGCGCAGGTTAAACATTAGTGGCTGCGGTCGCCAAGCTAGGAACCCGGCTGCGTGGCCGAGGGTGCCTCACGACGTCCGCACCCTGCGCCTCCATCCCAGCGGCCTCGGATTGTTCAGGACTGAGGTACCCTGGCGGGGAAGAACTCGCATGGTTGGAGGCACGGAGGCGCGGAATGGGGGGGGGGGGTGTCTGACAACCAACTCTTGGCTTTTCAGGAGGGGGGTCTTGGGAATGCAGTTTTTGAAAACAAGAAAGCGACCTAAACGACTAAGATCTGAGTTCTGTAGGGAAGTGGGATTCGGTTACTAACAAGATGATTTTTAAATAAAGATTGGCGTTCTTAGGTTCCTCCGCTTCCGGTCCCGGGCTGAAGTTTAGCAGGAGTACAGCACTAGGGGTGGATGTGATTAGAAGTCCACGGGACAAAAGTGTACGAGGCAGGAGCAGAGGACAGGGCCTGGTAGGACTGTGTTCACAAGGGTCCTGAAAGGCCCAGGGCTGATGCTGTCCTGGCCATGTCTCCAGGAATTGATTTTTACCAGGATTAGGAGAGGCCTCTGGAGTGTGAGATGTTCTAACCCTACTCTTCCATCTGTCTGTAAGTGTTCAGCAAGATGGTTACTTCCTTCTCCTTCCTTCCCCAAGGTGTGGTCTGGCAGGTGAAAACCCTGCTCAGAGAAGGTCGGTCTGTCTGTCTGTCTGTCTGCCTGCCAGCACCAAGGATCTGCTCCCTCCTGTGGAAATGGTTTTAGAACAGAACCTTCCTAATGCTTGCAGGTCTTTAATACAGCTCATGTTGTGTGACCCCCAAACCATAAAATTTTTTCGTTGCTACTTAATAACTGTAATTTTGTTACTGCTATGAATTTTTAGTGTAAGTATGGAATATAAAATATACTCGATATGCGACCCTGAAGAGGTCACGACCCACAGGTTGAGAACCACTGTTTCAGGCGCGCGCCTTAAGTTGGGGGCAGAAACTTTGTGCGGTTAGGAGCTGAACTTTTCTCAGAAGAACATTTGTGCCACTCAGAACACTAAGAGAAGGGGAGCACTTGGTAGGCAGTTCTGAATGTCCTGTGGTCACTTTGCAGAAAGAGACAGTTGTGGCCAGCAGGGCTAGCCAACAACTTACCTTCTCCCACAGGCTAATCACTTGCCTGGTGATTGTAGTGAGAGGTCTGACCCAGAATAAAGATGGAGAAGCTCTGTTAGGAAGCAACAGCACTTTCTTTAATAGACAAGAAACACCCGTATAGTCTTCACATCTTTCTGATGTGAAGCAGGTTTTTTTTTTTTTTTTTTGACACTTCTGTGCCTGGGGATAATAGGTCACGCAAGGCCTATTCTCCAAGATACTCCCAGGAGCCACCAGTCAAAGCCCACCTCCATTTTTATTTTAAAGAAAAAAATTGTGATGCTAATTTACAATAAGCTTTTATACATTTTAAAAAATTCTTTGAGAATTTCCTGTATGTATTCTGATCATTACCCCTCCTGCCCTCACTCCTCCACCCCCCAACTTTGAGACTCCTCCTTCCAGTCCAGTTTTCTTTTGTTTGTTTTTTCATTTTTTTTTTTTTTTTTTGATAGCTTGGAACTCACAGAGATCCACCTGCTTCTGCCTTGAGTGCTGGGATTAAAGGCAATCGCCACCACCGCTCGGCTGTTCTACCACTCTGTGTGTAAGGCCTGCCCTGGAATATGGTTGGCCTACCAGGGAGCACGTAAGTCCTTGGAGCTGGAGATGTAGCTCAGTGGTAGAGTTCATACTTAGTGAGGCCCTGCATTAGGTCCCCACCAGCACATCCACACCAACAAGCAGTTAAGAGGAAACTGTTTTGATGTCGTTAGGCAGAGTGGGCCTCAGAGTGTGAATCTCTCTCTTGCTGCTTGGAAGTTCTGAGAGCGGATGCAGCCCTTAGGCTAGACAGTTAAGAGTGGAAATGGATCTTCCTTTTTAATTTTTAAAAACATTTTTTAATAAAACAAGAAACCCTAAGAGCGAGACCAGGGTCTGTAAAAGAAGTCTTCTGGAGAATCCCAGCTCCCTCTCATTTCCATTAGGGGCTCCAGTGCTCCCTTGCCTCTACTGTGTGTAGAACGTGTTTGCAAACTGTGGGAAGGTTTCCTTGGCAGCCTTGACAATTAGCTCTAATGACAAGCCCGGGAGTTCCCCAGGGCAGGCACTGTGAAGGTAGCTTGGAAGCCAGGGCAAGTTTGTAAATGATTGCCCATAGCCCCTCAGAAGCCTGGCGCCTTCCAAACTTTCCTCTTAGTTTCATTTTTGAGGAAGAAAAAGAGACGGTAAGATGTGGAGATGCAATTTAGATGAGAGAAAGAGAGAAAAAGCAAACCAAAGCCCCAGATGTTTGGACAGTATTATCTTTGGCAGAATTCAGGTGAGCAGAAGAGCCATGCAGCTTCCAGGATCTGTTTCCCCATGGAGCTGGTGACTTGGGAGGTAGTAAACACTGCCGCTTTTTTTTTTTTTTTTTTAAATAGCGAGTGTGGAATTGCTGCAGGGGGGAAATGAATGTTCTCAACAAGGGAGCAAGCTTGAAACACTAGCACAAAGCTCCATTTGAATCACCAACTCCTTTGAGTGAAGAAGGATTAGGGAGTTTCCCTGGACCCCATCAAAACCTGTAGAGGCAGGTAACACAGTCCCAGCTTTCCTAACTCTGGTGAATCATCTCTGCCTTGTGTTTCTAGTCCCAGATGTGGGAAAACAGTCTGCTGATAACTCAGTCTGGAGAAGCTTGCGTTCCTGCCCCTGGGGTGCGTGGTTTCTTGGTAACCAGCAACATGCTCATGTGGCTTTGTCTTCTGCCTAGGAAGCCAGCTTTGTAGCAGAGACAACAACGTTGAGGATTTATGGTCTCCAGCACTCACCCTGTCATGATTTGCTGTGAACCCTGGCAGTCCTTCTGTTCTCCTCGAGAAATCTCAGGTACTGTATTTCCACAATGAAACAATCTTGTATCATCCCTATGATACCTCTGCCATTGTTGGGAGGACACGGATTTGTGGAGTCAGACAGCACCTCTGAAGTCTGGTGCTGTGCCTGACATGTAGGTGCTTGATAAGTGATAGCTGCTCTCATCAGATTGCCATCTATAGGAATTCCCACCCTCCTAGTGTACCCTTTGCCCCAGGGTACCCTTTGCCTCCTAGTGTACCCTTTGCTAGTGTTCCTAGCCCCAGACATCTAGGAACCAGACCTCTAAAGAACCAGAGAAGATAGGAGTGCTACACGTGGGGGTGCAGTAAAGCCTCGTGAACTGAGAACTCTACTTCAGAGTCTTATGTAAGTGGAGTGAGGTTTCCCCTCACAGTGTTTATGGGGTTTGCTGAGGGTGTGAAAAAGGAAGGTTTGTGGACACCAGGAGAGCAAGCTGTGAGGCCCGATCTTGACAGCCACGCTGGGCACTGGGAGGCCTCTCTGATGTACCTGAGTCCACTCACGAGAGCCAGTGGGGTTAATCTGTGAGTGTGTTATGTCAGACATGTCTCTGGGACTACATTTCCCTGTAGCGAGTCCAAATGAAAGTTAACTAACTCCTGTTGATTCTAGCTCTCGGTTGTCTTAGCCTCATTTCCCCAGAACTCCAAGAACACGGAATTTTGAGGCAGATGGTGTAAGATGTTAGCAGTTTTGTTGAGTTTAATAGTCATCAGGAAATAGGTTGGAGACTGAGACTTGATAGACAAGAGTAAGGCATTGTGCAGCCCCGACAACCTCACACATGGGGAGCAGAGGGGAGGAAGGGCATGGCTATGTCTTGGGGTAGATCCCCCTCCCTGGATCCTACCCTGGCGCTTACCATTCTCCAGCGTAAGTTCTGCATATTCCTCCGTCTTCTCAGAGAATGAACTCTAGAGCCAGACACTGTGATTCAGTGATTGTGAGAGAACTGTTCCTTTCCTGATTCACTTTCCTGGCTTCTTCCTGGGTGCAATGGGATGCTGCAGGGAGTGAACGGGACGCCGTGTGTAAAACCTTAGAACAGTAGATGGAGATCAGCCATGTTGGAACGGGGTGCCTTGTGTAAAACCTTAGGACAGTAGATGGAGATCAGCCATGTTGGCTTTTTTCCTTTTATTTTTTCTTCCTCCTTCCCTCCCTGCTTGCTGTTCCTTCATAATGACAGGCGCCATTCTGTGGCATTCCCATCTGTACCTAACACTATCCATGGTGCCTGGCTAAGGCTTGGGAATCATTTGCTGACATGGACCAGAGTGCTCCATGTTCTGGGATCCCAGAGAAGAGCTAGGAAATTTGGACTATGGTGACAGTCAAGATGAACAGAGCTTTGAGGCCTGTGTCCATCTTGAGCACAAGCAGAAGGAAACACCAGGGGATTGTCTGTACTGAGGGGCAGCAGAAACAGTGGCTGACACCCCAAGACCCAGAAGTTGTGTTGCTTGGGTTTGAATTAAGCTTCTGGACCTTGGGCAAACATTTTTTTTTTTTCTCTGTGACTCAGAATGTGATGGCAGCTCTTTAGGAACTGTTCCTTTTAAATACACGTTTATTGTATGTGTATGAGTGTTTGCCTGCATGTCTGTATAAGTACTACATTCTGCAGAGGATAGAAGAGGCCTTCAGAGTCCCGGAAGCTGGAGTTATAGATAGCTGTAAGCTGTCATGTGAATGCAGGACTCGAACCTGGGTCCTCTGTAAGAGCAGCCAGTTCTCTTAACTGATGAGCCATCCTTCTAGCCCCTAGGAATTGTTTTTGTTTTGTTTTGTTTATTTTTTTGGTTTTTCCAGACAAGGTTTCTCTGTATAGCCCTGGCTGTCCAGAATTCATTTTGTAGACCAGTGTTGGGAGCCAAGTCATAGCAGAAAGCGGCTATCATCTTTGCAGACATTTCGAGCCATATACCCTGACAAGAAACTTGTTTTCAACAGCCTACAACAGCTGAGCACACTCTGATAAACATCTTGTTTTTCTCACATATCTTGTTTTGCTGCTTAGTGCCCCCAGCTGCAAGGTGCATGTGGTCTCCACGCTGCTAGGCACTTGTGATATCTGCGCTACAAGGCACATGACATAGTGCCTTTAGCTGTGCTTGTCCACGAGGGCAAGGCATGTGGTAAAGGGTATAAATACCCAGGATTTCCTTTCAATAAAGGAGACTTGATCAGACTCTGTCTTGTCTTCATTCTTCGTGTCTCTTGGCCTTCCATCCTCACTCTCTCTCTTGCTAGACCCTGACCGGAGGACCAGAGCAGCAAAACAGACCTGGACAGACTGGGCTGGCCTCGAACTCAGAAATCCACCTGCCTCTGCCTCTCATGTGCTGGGATTAAAGGCATGCGCCACCACTGCCCGGCTAGGAATTGTTTTGAGAAACACTCTCCCTGTTGCTATAATCCTTAGCACTCTACTGCAGAGGGTGTTTTCTTCTACTGCTCTCTGCCTTGGTGTTTGTTGGTCTCTCTCTCTCTCTCTCTCTCTCTCTCTCTCTCTCTCTCTCTCTGAGTGAGATATAGAGGAGGGGGTATGGCATGCATGTGGAGGTCAGAGGAGAACTTCATAGAGTCAGTTCTCTCCTCCCACCTTTATGGGGTCCCAGGGATCTAGCTCAGGTCATTGGAATTATGTGGTATAGACTTTCCCTGATGAATGGTCTTGTGGGCTCTCCACCTTGGTTATTTGCTGAACCCAGAGCTCACAAATTGGCTAGATTGGCTGGCCATTGCATTCCAGGGATCATCCTGTGTTCATCCCCTACCTAGTGCTAGGGTTACATTTAGGCGCCATTGTTCTTGGCTTTTATGTGGGTTCTAGGGAATGCAAATGCAGGCCTTCATGCATCTGGGGGCAGGCACTTTACCAACAGAACTGCCTTCCAGCCCTGGGTTCTAACTCGTTCTTGGTGATGCTATTGCTGCTGGCCAAGGAAGCAGAGGACTCTGAGAATTGCGGCTTTACTGAGGTCTAGACAGAAGGGCAGAGAATCAGTCTGTCATCAGGCATCTGTCATCAGGCATGTGCTGAAGCTTCTGTCTTACCTGGCATTTCATGTATTTATTGCTACTTTCTAGGCACTGTTGGAAGTTGAGTTTGAAATATAAGCAGTTTGGGCTCAGAGTTGGGTCCAAAAGTCTCAAGAGGCAGAAAGGACCTGAGCAAAGAAATTTGGGGATAGCCAAGGCTCAGTCAAGAGTAGGCCCAGAGTAGCTGAAGCACTGGGTATGTGATCTCATCCTCAGGAGATTACAGTAAGAAATGGTCCATTGGTGAACAGTGGATGAATGTCAGGGAGGACTCGAACCCCTGTCTTAAAGGTAAGGAGGAAGAATAGTCATTGCAGAATGGGAAGGCTGGCAAGAGCGACCAGAGGTGGGAGAGAGTAGAGAGAGCTAGTGAAGGAGATCTGTGGCCTTATCATTAGAGAGAGAACTATTGGCACACACTGGAGGTCAAAGCTTAAATAGTTAAAGAGTGAGGTTCTCAGGCACGTGAGGGCAGGAAGTGGGTGTCCTGTTACCCTTGTACACAGCATGCCTGGTTACCTGCTGTTGTCAGGCATGGCTTGTTGGGAGCAACTGTCTCTGAGGCTCTGGTGGTGAGGCTGCAACCTGGAGCTAAGCATGGTGAGTGCCTTGTCAGCCAACTCCTGTTTCGTTGGCTGGCTACCTGACACATTGAACAGGGTAGAAATAAATGTACTTGTCTTCTGGTGACGACGCAGCATGCTTATGCTAGATGGTGTTGTTCTGGGAGGAGTGTCTGAGAAAGGAAGGAGAGGGATGGAAACTGAAAAGCTAGGCTCAGGGCAGCCGGTGGCCATTCTGAGGAGCATCCAAAGAGGTCTGCAGACAGTACTGTGGCAGAAGGAGCCACACTGAACCTCAAAGCGGGGACTAGGGATGTGGTTAATACATCACACAGTACCTACAATTCTAACAGCTGGGCTAAGTCCAAACAGGTATACAGTAAAAAGGGAGATTTTTATGAGTGGATGAATTAGAGGTTTAAGGGAAAAGGGATGGGCCTTTGGTCAAAGCAAATCTTCCAAGAAGAGAACCTTATTACAGCTGAGTAGTTCAGGTCTACAAACTTTGAAGGCCGGTGAATGCTTAGCTGCAGTTCAGCTTTGGTCTCCCTGGTGGGAGAAGACCATCCTCCCCATCCAGATTCCAGTTTGGTTTGTGGAATTGTGATAACGGTACCCTCTCTATTTGTAAATCCATACTTCGAGATTGCATGCAGCATGCCAGTGTTACCTCTGAGCCCCTCCCCCACCCCAACTCCTTCTCATAGTCCCTGGGAAGCAGGTAGAGCTGGCTGGACCATTGCCACTGTCTTTCCTTTCTTTTCCTCCTCCCCGGCCCACCTAGACCCACTGCTTCTTCAAGGCTTTTTTTTTCTCCCGTGAGTTTTGTGACCTTTGTGTGTTAATTTTCTCGTTGTTGTAACAAATAGCTGACAACAGCAATTTAAGGAAGCCAGGGTCTCTTTTGGCTGATGACTGGAAGAAATATACTGGTGAGGGACATGGTGGTTGGTGTGTGAAGTAGCTAACCATTATTTCCAGAGTCAGGATGCAAGAGAATTCTGCCCTACTCAGTCTGGGACTCCAGGGAATGGGATGGTCCCACATCCAGGCAGGGCTTCCCTCCTGGGATAATTCTCTCTGGAAACACCCTCATAGATGAGCTGAGAGGTGTGTCTCCAAGGTGACGCCAATCCCAGTCAAATTGACAAGGAAAATAAACTAAGACACTTTTCTTCTCTGCCTTTGGATTGAATTTAAGTGACGAGATCACACAGGCTGGGTCGAACTTGATAAATGGGGAGGTGTGCACCTTTTCTCATCTTAGATTCAGTCTGCAGGGCAAAGCTATTCCTGGAGGAACGCTGCTTACTGGCTTGCTCCTATGGCTTGCCCAGTTTGTTTTCTTATACACTCCAGGACCACGTGTCCAGAAGTTGCACCGCCCGTAGTAGGCGACTTCTACATCAATCGCTAACTAAGAAAATGCCTCCAGACTTGCCTCCAGACGATCTTGTTGAGACATTTTCTTAATTGTGTTTCCCTACTCTCAGATGATTCTAGCTTGTGGCAATTTGACCAAAAGCTATCAAACACATCTACCAAGAGTACAGGTAATAGAATATGGGTCTTTTGGCAAAAACAACAACAACAACAACAACAACAAAACAAAAGCTCTTTTCTCTAGTCCCTTAATATAGTTCCTCATGTCGTGGTGACCCCCAAACAAAATTATTTCATTGCTACTTCATAACTATAATTTTGCTACAGTTATGAATTATAATGTAAATATCTGATATTCAGGATATCTAATATGTGATCCTTAAAGGGATCACGACTAAGAGGTTGAGAAGCACTGTTCTAACCTATTAATGGGCTTGGAATGAAGCTCTCAATTAGAGAATTTGCCGATCATGAATAAGGCTCCATGTGTAATCCACAATGCAAGGAAAAAAAAACCCAATAACAAACAAACAGGTCCATCATAGACTGAGCACAATTTATGTAGAGACATAGCAGCTTTCTTAAGCCTTTCTTGGCTGGGCTGGACATTGTTTCAGTTACAATCCACCAAACCTAACTTAGTCACATAATCACACTTTGCTGCAGGGGGATGCTGGGAAATGTAGTCCACACATATTCTACTAGAATGGGATATACCAGATGGCAGTGCTGTGGTCATTAGTGGCTCTGCCATTCCTGGAGGGTTGTTGGATTTTATCCCAAGTCACTATAGGGTTTCAGAAAAATCCTCTCATACATTTGACAGAATTCTTTGTCAGGTGCTACCACAGTTGCTCTGTAGGGGGTTCCCGAGGACCTATCACATGTAGGTGCTAGAGTGCGTGTGTCATGGGCCCCCTTCCTTACCACAGTTCTTTCAAGTGGACTCCTTCCTGCTCCCCCACAGACTGAGGAGTTCTAAGAGGAAGAGATTTGTCCAAGGCAGAGGATTTAGATGTTTCTGTGCAAGGGAAGGCTTACCTTTCCTTCCCACACTGTAGTCATGTTGACATAGTCAGCACATCATACTGAAACGCTGCTCTACAGGCACCTCACTGTGCCCTCCTTTAAGGTTTTGCTGAGCAGGTATATGGAAGGTACAACCATTTGAACTTTATATAACTTTATATAACTCTTCCATTTGCCAGGTCCTCTTTCAGCTTCTTGGCCAGTGGCCTTGGTGGCATTCCACCCCTGTGGTCAGCCCAGAGCCTCTTCTGCCCATGCAGTACCCAGCAGCCACTGCTGACGGCCTTAGTGGCCCGCTCTCTGGGGCCTACACACTTCCCACCTTCAAGTTCCAGCCTCGCCGTGAGAGCATAGACTGGAGACGCATCAGTGCTGTGGACGTGGACCGTGTGGCCCGGGAGCTGGACGTGGCCACTCTGCAGGAGAACATTGCCGGCGTCACCTTCTGTAACTTGGACCAAGAGGTGTGCAACCACTGTAGGCAGCCTGTGGACCCAGTGCTGCTCAAGGTGCTGCGCCTGGCGCAGCTCATCATCGAGTACCTGCTGCATTGCCAGGACTGCCTGAGTGCCAGCGTGGCGCAGCTGGAAGCACGGCTGCAGGCCAGCCTGGGCCAGCAGCAGCGTGGCCAACAGGAGCTGGGGCGCCAGGCTGATGAGCTCAAGGGTGTTCGGGAGGAGAGCCGGCGTAGGCGAAAGATGATCAGTACCCTGCAGCAGCTGCTTCTGCAGACAGGTGTCCACAGCTACCACACGGTGAGGACTCTTGGCTGAGGGGAGCCTGGGCTGTACGCCTCAGGCACCAGGCCAGCTGAGTGGTACTGCCTTGGACCAGGAAACGACTGGAGGCCGTTCTCATCAGTTAGGAGCAGATTTTAAAGATGATATTCTGAGAGTCTGAGGATTCTTATTGGGTTCTATGCAACGTAAGTGTAGAATGGGTGTGTGAGAGGAGTGTGTAGGGTGTGTGTACAAGTACTCCTGTGCATGGAGAGGATGCGTGTGTAGTATGTGAAGGTGTGACTTATATGACCTTTGTATCTGTGCATGTGGGTGTGTTAAATGTGTATATACAAATGCTTGAAGGGTCTACGATATCTGGGTCTGTAGGATACATCTTGTATAATGTGTGCTTGTACTGACTTACTGCAATAGACCCAGCTAAGGAGCGTAGTAGATATATTTATGGGGTGTGTCTTTGAGGGCGTGAGGGATGTGCACGTTTGTCTGTACATATAAAGACAGTATGTAATGATGTATATGGGTAAAGGATATGTAGTATACCTGCCTAACGATGTGAGTATGTCTGGAAGGTATGTGCGTCACATGTATAAGGATGGAGAGTTGGTAGGCGTGCAGAGTGCGCTGTGTAAAGGCATGTGTGTGTGGAGGCATGTGGACGGTCATTAAGTGTGTGGCGAGGCATATGGAGGCAGGCTCACTTTAGGAAACTTACTTCATCGTTCAGACATAGTTCATGACTCCACTGCACCAGAAGAGGAGGCCGAGGCATCGACCCTGGCCAGGCTCTAGAAGGTGGTTACAGTCCATGCAAACTTAGGTTTTCAGAGGATTCCTAGTTTGGGGGCAAGGCTGTTAGTGTGAGGCAGGGCAGTTAGTGTGAGGCAGGGCAGTAAAATGACTTGCACAGTGTCCCCTGCTCCACCCAACTTATATTCCTCTCCTAACTAGAGGTTTATTTCTGTCACGTTAAGTCTCCAGTGGGCAGAGTCTGTCAGTGTAGGCGTCATCTATTGCGCCCGTACTGCAACCCATGGCAAAGTTCACAGAGAAGCTGGCGGTAAGCAACCCAGGGCTGGTATGGGATGCCAGCTACCAGCGACTCAGTTCTTTATCTCTTGCTTTGCCAGTCTTATCAAATGTCTCATGGCCTGATTCCGCCCTTCAAGCCCACTAACACTGAGTTACATCCCTTGCCAGCTCTTTTTTTTTTTTTTTTTTTTTTTAGACTGGATCTGGTGATATAGCCCTGGCTAGCCTGGAACTTGTTATGTGTATCAACCTGCCTCAAACTCACAGAGATCTGCCTGTCTCTGCCTCCTAAGTACTCCAGTTAAAGATATGTGCTCCACTAGGACTTAAAAAAAATGTCACCTTCTAGAAATGCTTATATATAATGACTAGAACTTAGTGACATGGTTATATTCAGTTGTAATAGGAGCTGGGGCACATGGTGGTTATTTTCATTGGCCTCATATTCTACTAAAAATCAGGATTCCTGTTTTCTTTCCCTTCCTACTCCCACCGTTCTTTCTTTCTTTATGTGGTGCCAGGAATTGAACCTAGGGTCTCACACACTCCCAACCCTTCAAATTCTTTTATTTCTGAGGCAGCCCATGGACCCTGTGGAGGCAGAGTTTCCCTACAGGAAACTTCTGTGCTGTCTAGGGGATCTAATCCGGCACTTCCAATTGCTTCTCTCCTGTGTAGTGTCATTTGTGTGACAAGACGTTCATGAATGCCACCTTTCTCCGGGGCCACATCCAGCGCAGGCATGCAGGAACAGCAGAAGTTGGTGAGTCCAGGGCTCATCTGGGAACTGCTGGGCTAGGATTTGGTGAGTGAGGACCATGCACATGAACCTGCTCTTAGAGCCTCTTAGAGCTCCCACCTGGAGCTCTGTGCAGTTTTGTCTGTGTAGGGGACAAGAAGCATCAGACAGATAGGCTTAGTTGTAGCTTTGTTCCTTTCCATGACAGTGGTCAGGACTTTGCCTCTGGCTTGGTGTTCCTTCACTGTGTGTGGAGCAGGCAATGACTCAGAAGGGCCTTCAGCCTCCCTGCCTGTCTGCAGCCGTCTGAGGCTGGCTGTATAAATGGGGCAAATGAGCAGTCAGACCAGTTCTTGGGCTGTCCTGTGTACTGGAGCTTATCATGACTTAACCACTGTATTTAATTTGACCATTTCAGATTCCAGAAAGAGTAACAAGGCTTTGTGTTGCCCTTATAGTTATATGTAGTTTTTGAGTTCAACAGAAGTATCTGTACAATGAAGTAACCACATACTATAAATATAAAATTTACATTAAGGGAAATACTGTTATTTCCCATCATTGTAATCCTCTTAATTTTATTTTATTTTATTTTATTTTATTTTTTTACAGTTGAACATGTAGCTTGGTAATATAGGACTTGCTTGAATGCAATGTAGTTCTAGGTTCAGTCCTTAGACAGACAGACAGATAGATAGACAGACAGACAGACAGACACACACAGCTTAAAGCAGTATCATTTAACTGTGTACTTATTATATATCTCTTCATAGTTCTGTATTAGGGATTATTAAGGAAAACAGTCTATGTCTTAAATATTGGTTTCTTATTTTCTTGTAAAAATATGTGTTTGATATGGAAACTTAACTATGTAGTGATATATAGGAAAAGGAAAATTAAAAACAATGGACATTATCACAGCAGTTACTATTTTGATGTTTTTCTGCATATATTTATAAGCATATAAAAACACTTTTGAGTATACCATAGTTTCTGTTCTTTTTATTTTGTTTTGTTTTGAGTTAGTCTTGAACTTGCTTGGTATAGCTGAGGCTAGCCTTGAACTCTTGGCTCCCTGCCTCCAGTTCTTTGGTACTGCTACTATGCCTGGCTTATGCAGTAATGGGGTTCAAAAGCAGGGCTTCATGCATACCAGGCACTGCCAACACTAGACCATCTTTGAAAACATGATTTTTAATGACTGAACAGAATTTCATGATGTAACCATCAGTTTCTTTCACACTGTGGTACAGAATATCTGGGTAACTCAAAAATTTCATTACTATGTAGCACAGGATGGATTAACATCCTCTTATGTAAATCTTTGTGTGCGTCTTTTAGTGTTTTAATAGGAGAGGAAAATGTGTTCTTTTTCTATTTTACGATTTGTTTTTATTTATGTGTAAGTTTCTGTATATATATGCCGTGTGTGTGTGAGCGTGCACGCACACCTACAAAGGACACAAGAGGGTGTCAGATCCCCTATGACTGGATTGAGCCACATAACGTGGATGTTGGGAACCAAACTTAGTCTTTCTGGAAGAGCAGCAAGTGGTCTTAATCGCTGAGCCATCTCCCCAGCACCGTGGAAATGTGTTCTTAAGGCAATTTTTGCTGCATTAGTGCTAATGACTTCACATTTCACCCATCCTTGTGTGGACCCCAGGAAAGCAGAAGCAGGAGCAGCCACTGGGGGAGGTACTGGAGGAGCTTCGGGCCAAGCTCAAGTGGACCCAAGCGGAGCTGGAAGCCCAGAGGGAGGCTGAGCGGCAGCGCCAGGTCCAGGTAAGTATGCAGGGAAGTGGCTGGAGAGGCTCAGGATGCCGTGCCCAGCCATGTGCTAGACTTCCACAGGGCCCAAATTCCTACCGATTTCCCTGAGCCGGAAGTCAGAGAGAGAAGGCCAACTTCTCCGATGTGAAACATGATTATACTTTGTCTGGAAAGGACAGTCAAACTATTATGCCAGACCTGTGTGGCTGAAAGTGCAGCAGAGAGTCATGGGCTTCTGCGTAGCGATGCTGAAGGCATCTGAACGTGAACCTAATGTTTTGGGCTGCACTATTACTTGGTTCTCTGAGGACAAAGACTGAGTCTGGTTTTGAAAGCTCCAGAATCCTAGGCTAGAGAGGCGTGTGTTATAAATATAAAATATAAATAAATTTACAGAATAAAAACGCTAGCCTTTTTCATCTCTCCTTGTAGTGGCTTTTATTTATTGCCTTCGCAGGCATTTATTGGGGATTGAAAAGAGAAAATGAGTCTTATCTTCAGGGAGCCTACAGTTTAGATAAGTCGTGTCCAGCAGTGGACCACTCTGGGTCTAGATGGCAGGGGCTGAGGGTGGCATGTTCTTTGGATTGCCATGGTGTTATGCATATGTAGGAGGCCTTAGCTGGTGCTCAGTCAATGTTTGCTATAACATGGAAGTGATGATTATACTGCGTTTTGTTTTTTGGTAGGAATTGGAGATGACTCGTCAGAGGGAAATGGAAGCTAAAAAAAAGTTCGATGAATGGAAAGAAAAGGAGCGCAGCAAGCTTTATGGAGAGATAGACAAGCTGAAACAGTTGTTCTGGGATGAGTTCAAAACCGTTGCCAACCAGAACTCTACGTTAGAAGAGGTACCCCCACAATTCTTTTGTTGCAAGCCTATTTGTCATTTAAAGTTAATTTTGTGTATGCACATGCATGTGTGTGTGCATGTGTGTGTGTTTGTGTGTAGATGGGCTTGCCTATGTACATGTATGAAGAGACCAGAGATGGACATGTCTTCTTACCATCTTTCTGTACCTCAGTTCTATATTAGACTTATTTTTATTTGAGAGAGAGAGAGAGAGAGAGAGAGAGAGAGAGAGAGAGAGAAGATTCACACATATGTGTGGGTGCCTATGGAAGAGGCCATCAGATTCTCTGGAGTTACCACTATTATGGGCTGTCTCGTGTGGGTGCTGGGAACTGAACTTGGGTCCTCTATAACAGCAGTAAGTGCTCCTACCAGCTGAGCCGTCTTTCCAGACCTCCCACCTTAGATTGGTTATTATTTATTTATTTATTTATTCATACATTTATTTATTGTTTTTAGAGATAGGATCTCTCTATATAGCCCTGGCTGTCCCAGGACTAAGTATGTAGACCAGGTTGGCCATCAAGATACCACCTGCCTCTACCTCCCAAGTGCTGGGATTAAACGCATGCACCACCGCACTCGAATGCCTTACCTTAGTTTTTGAGACATGGACTTCTTACTGAGTAGTGAGTACCCCATTTTGACTCGAGTGGCTGGCCACTCAGCCCTTGGGATCAGCTTGTCTTCAGCTCCAATTCTTGGCTTTACAAATGTGCACTTCCGTTCCTAGGTTTTAAATAGGTGTTAATGATTTGAACCCAGGATTTTTGTTTTGTTTTGTTTTTGTTTTTTTGTGACAGTGTTTCACTATGTAGCGCTCACTGTTTTGGAACTCACTATAAAGCGGCTTGCATCTGCCTGCCAGGTGATAGATTATAATATGTATCACCATGCCTGGCTGACTCAGAGTCTTCATTTGTACAACAAGCGCTTTGCCCACAGAGGCCTCCTCCCCCCCCCTCAGAATTCATTACTTAGTCCTCACTGGTCTTACTTGTGTTGTTGTTGGCTGACACAGTATATGGTTGGACAACAGAGGCCGGTGCCCAGGGAAATCCACACTGCTCCGGCACACACTTGCTGTGTGGTCTAGTTGTTTAGTTAGTTTACATCCCTGTGCCTTAGTTTCTTTTGTATGTGATAGATTAGCAACAACTTTAAATTAGCACATATGTAGTACATAAAACTATCTGCCATTTAATTAGAACTCTTTAGAAGACTAACCTTATTTTACAAAATGTTCTCATCATTGGCAAGAAATGTGGCAGAACATACATGAATACGTTTTTCTCTCAACTGATATCTGGTGAATTCTGGCTATACGTCAGATATTCTGGTGATGTCGACGGGAGTTTCGTAGAATAGGTTACATTCACTGGACGTACTTACTGTTCCCTGCCTCTGTGCAGAATATTTTTTTTTTTCCAGACAGGATCTCTGTTACCTGGCTGTCCTGGGACTTGTCATGTAAACCAGGCTGGCCTCAAGCTCACAGCAATCTTCTTGCCTTTGCTTTGTGAATGCTTGGAATTACAGTATGCACCATTATGTCCAGCCACAAAAACTTATTACATCAAACTTTCTAAGCAGCCCACTTTGCCTGGCTAGGTTCCATTTAGTTGTGTATGTGCGTGTGTGTGCATGTGTACACACATGACACTTCGTTTTAAGAATGTATATTACATTCTTTTTTACAGGTGAAATCAAGACCATGTAATTTGTACAAGTTCACACAGCTAGTAAGGGATGGAGGTGACGTTTGAACATAGCTTTTAAAATTCCAAGGTCCTATTGTCTGTTGGCTGCACTATTCAGCGCTAATACAGGGAGACCTTGTTAAGGTTACTGCTGACTCGTATCATTTCCTATATGCACAGATGGAAAACCATTTTAAACTATATTTATCTCCAATTGGTCCTCTTCACATCAAGAGAATCTCATTTTGAAAGCGAATTGTCACCCAGTTTTTCTTGCCACCATCCCATGTTTTTCCTAAAGATAGATACACACAGGCAAGTGTTCCTAGGGGATTGTCATAGGGCTAGCCTGGGACCTGGGATGGAAATGCAGAGGGAGCGTGGTAGGATGGAAATGAGAACTTGTTCTCTCTCTGTATCTGTCTGTCTGTGTCCCTGCCTCTCTGTCTCTTTCTTTATGTCTTTCTCTCTGTGTCTGCGTCTCTCTGCATGTCTCTGTCTCTCTCTGTATATTTTTGTCTCTCTCTCTGTATATCTCTGTCTCTCTGGTTTTTTTCTGTAATTATTCAAGTCTTTCCATCACAGTGCTCCCTGCTGGGTTAGGGACGCTCTGTGGAAGGCAAGCTGACACTCTATGGTGTGGCTTTCTGCGCTCACCAGCAGCTTTATAGACATTGTTCCTGATTTTAAATGTCCCTGGCTCTACACTTCGAAACATGTTGCTTGTTAAGTAGGCATCTGTAAGTACTGTTGATTGGAAGCAGACGCCATTGCTCAGAAACCACCTCATTAAGGGCCACTGGATTACTTTGGGTTAGAAAATCTTGAGTTTCGGAAAATGAGGGCATGATCCTTTACCAGCTCCCTTTCTGACTCAGATCCCATTCTTCTCATACTGGAATAGCCTAGGACTGTATTTATTTATTGTTTGTCTGCCTGTAAGATTACTCATGTTGTGTTTCTATGTCTCCTGACTCCCTTCAACATTTTATTATTTTACCTTATTAAAGTATAGGGAGCAGATTGGATACAAGATTCTCTGTATCATTCAGTAATTATTTTGTCCACTCATTCTTTTTTGAATTCTCAGAGGGAAAGGTAAGATTCTATTTAAAATGACTGGAAAGTATGGTGAGATAGTCTTCAAAACCAGAGGCAACACCATGACGTGAGGAGGGCCACTGAGCCCTCAGTACATTTTGAGAGTATTTCTCCTTACAGCTTGCCTGGTGCAGAGGTCTGAGCACTTACTGCATGGCTATGACTGGCTGCAGAGAGAATGTCAGGATACATGGAGTAGATGCAGCTGCAGGATTTGCTTACAGGAAACACGGGCTATGGGGGTCTGTAGTGCAAAGAGCCAGAGGTGTGATGTGCTATAGCATTGAGAGAGGAGACACATCAGAAACCCCAGTTATCAAGGCCTCACTAAAGCATTTGCCAGCAAAAATGCTCTTGCTGGGACACGATTAACATCCGGTCCTGGTATTGCTTAAGGAGTGGCTGCGAAAAGTTATCAAGAAGAAATGCCAAGTTAGACTCTGGCTCAAAGGTCCTTAAAGCTGCACAAAGTTTTATCAGTTACGTGTCGGAATAGACATGGGCTTCATTAGTATGACATGGGTAGGTAGGAAGGGATTCTGTCTTTGATTCAGCCTTCTCCTCTGGTCACAGTGCTTGCTCAAGGACCAGTAGCTATAAGTGACATGGCTCTGAACACAGCACAAAAATAGCTGTTTCTGGGGTGTGTGTGTGTGTGTCTGTATGTGTGTATAAGAGGCAGGAAATCCTCAGGGCATGGCTTGGGGAGTCAGAGGTTCTCACATGGGCCCTAAGTGTAGATCTTTTCAGCTTATTTCTGGGAAGAAACTGGCCAGCACTTGGGTAAGTTCAGGGTTTGGTGACATCAGAATTTCACTGAAATTGAACTAACATTTGAGTTTGTGTTTTCCACGGGTGTTTACTTTTACTGTACAGGAGCTAAGCCTCGGGAGACCTCTCAGGAGGGGACTGCTGACTTGTGTGGATGTTTGTATGCACATAGTGGTAGTGAGGGCAAACTGGGGAGGCTCTTGATTGCTGTGAGTTTTACTCTTCTGGTTCTGAATTGGGGTAAGGTATAAAGCTAATGTCACATCTAGGACTTCATTTAATAAAACAGCTCTTGGCTTTTTCAGAAGCTGAAGGTACTGCAGTCCTACAGTCTGACTGAGTCCCACCTTGGGTCTCTGCAGGATGAAGAGTCAGAGGAGAGGCTCAAGCATGCCCAGGAGCTCCAGGCCCTTCGAGAAAAGATGGAAGTTCAGGTGAGCTGATGCTCGCTCCGTACCCTTCCATCCAGAGCAAGCCAGAAATCTCCCTGTCCCCACCGAGGCTTCTGTTTTGCCTTGTGGTTTTGGTGAAGTTGAAAGACATCAAAGCTCTGTGTTTTCAGGCCTTGTTCAGTATAAAAGCAGAGAGGAAGGTTCTCAGGCAAGGCTGGGGATGCGTTTAATCCGATATTTGCCCAATATGTACAAACATATGTAAACATAGGTGGTTTTTTTTGTTGTTATTGACATTTTTATCTCTAACTTTCATCCTAACACAGTTGAAAAAGAATTCAGAAAGAGCGACAGTGTCCTGAGATATTTATGACAGACCTGTGGTGTGGTAGCCCATGCTTAGCTGTCAGCTTGGAGCTCAGGGTTACTGTGCTGTGTGGGTTCCTTTCACTGTGAAGTCACTGATCTGAGCTGGGGAGATTTGTACCTTGTTTACTCTGGCCACCACGGACAGACGCTTGCTTAAGTCCAGGCAGAGAACATGGATGTCACTTATAAGGCCACAACAGGGACAGTCAGCACTGCAACCGAAGGGTGAGCGAGCATCCACGTCTGCTCTTCAAGGGTGGATGAGAAAGAGCTGGAAGCCTGTCTGCAGAAAGGCGGTGAGGCTGGCTTCATGGTGTCCCACTGGCTTTTTATTGCCATGTTAAAACACCAAGACCAAGAGCATCTTGGGGAGGAAAGGGGTTATTTGGCTTACACTTCCGTGTTACAGTACATCATCTACAGAAGCACAGGCTGGAACCTGGAGGCAGGGACAGAAGTAGAGGCTGTGGAGGAAAACTACTAAACGGCTTCCCCTCAAGGCTTGCTCTAGGACCACCGCAGGGATGACACTGCCCACAGTGGGTTGGGTCCTTCCACATCAATTATCAATTAAGAAAATGTCCCACAGGCTTGCCTACAGGCCAGTCTCATGGGGGCATTTTCTTATTTAGGGTCCCTCTTCTCAGATGACTCTGGCTTGTGTTAAGTATACAGACAGACAGACAAACAACCTGCAAAACTAATCCATGATGGATTTTACGTCATAAAAAAGTCATTGTCCTGGGGAGAGGACTTGGCCAATAAAGTGCTTATAATACAAGCACGAGGACCTTAGTTTAGATCCCCAAAGCCCACATAAAACCAGGAACGCATAAGTCTAGAACCTTAGAGCTGGTGGGGGTGGATAGAGACGGGTCCCCAGGCTCATGGCTCACAGCTCAGTCAGTCTAGCTAATTGGTTAGCGAGTGATTCAACAATAAGATGGAGAGTGACACCTGGCCCACACACATGCAATCATGTACAAATACACTTACACATGTGTGCATGTGTGTGCACTTTCGAGTGTGTGCAAACGCACACGCAACACCTCTCTTTTCCTATAAACTTGAACTCTGTTCATATTCTTTCTTTTCCCTTTATTTTTTTGCTCTGCTCCTTTTTTTTTTCTTTTAACTTTTTGAGATGGTTCTTATGTAACCTAGGCTGGCCCCTATTTGCTGTGTGTCTGAGAAGGACCCTAACCTTGAACTCCAGACCTTCCTGCTTCAGGCTTTCAAATGCTATTTGAAAGTTACAGCCATGAGCCACTGCATTGAGCTTTTTTGCTTCTTTGTCTATTATTGCTGTTTTCCTTACCCAGTTTTGAGTTTTGTGTAACATGTGGAACTTTTTTTTAGACTTTTTAAAAATATTTTATTTATTTATTTTATGTATATGGGTACACTATAGCTATCTTCAGACACACCAGACACACCAGAAGACCAGAAGAGAGCATCAAATCCCATTACAGATGGTCGTGAGCCAACATGTGGTTGCTGGGAATTGAACTCAGGACCTCTGAAAGAGCAGTCAGTGCTCTTAACCACTGAGCCATCTCTCCAGCCCAACATGTGGAAATTAAGCCTTTTGTTATTAAAGTTGTTTGTGGCTGATTTTTCTCCACTCTTCTATTGGCTTTTCAACTTTGCTTTATTGTCATTTGGCTGTAAAAAAGTAGCTTCTGTGGTAAAAGTTATTAGGCAGTCGGCCTTTTTAAAAGAGTCATCTTCATTTTTATTTATGCATATGTATGTGTCTCTGTGTATATGCATGCATGTGTGAGGGTGTCTGCAGAAGCTGGAAGAGGGCATTGGGTCTTCTTCTGGAGCCGGAGTTACAGGCAAGTTGCAAGCCACCTGATATGGGTGCCCAGAACTGAACTCAGGGCCTTGGCACGAGCAGCAAGCTCTCTTAACTGTCGGACATCTCTGTCTCTTCTCGATTGCTGTACCTGCTCTGAAGTTTAAAAAGAAAATATTCCTGTGTATTCTTTGAGTAATTCTGTGGCCTTAATTATTATTATTTTTACTGTCTTGATTTTTACGTGTAATTATCTGACCTGTCTATAGTTGGTTTTCATTTAAGACAGACCTTTGTGTTTTTTTCTTTTTTGTTTGTTTGTTTGTTTCCCTTTCTGGTCAGTTAGCCATTTGTTTAAACACCAGTAATCAATAATCCATGCCCACATTCTCTCTCATGCTGTTTCCATTTTCCCCCCACATGGTTCAGGTCCTCTATTCTGTTCTATTAGTCTTCCTAGCTGACCAGGAGCCAGTCATACTTTTCACTTTTTCATAGTTTTATTAGTTTATATTTATTACTACCTAGAGGGCTCCATTTGACAAGCTTCTATTCTTCCTCAGAAAACAGAGTGGAAGAGGAAAATGAAGGCCATGCATGAAGAACGGGCAGCTGAGAGGAGACAGGTAGCTCTTGTTTGGCAGCAAGAGTTTGGTTTCCCATGACCTCTCCCTATTCAGTGTTACCCTTCACCCCCACCCCCATTCCCAGTCCCATCCCATTCTCTACCTAGAGCACTACGTTCTGAATTCCATGCATCCGGCACTAAGTGGTACCTGCTTCAGGCCCTTGTGTGCTATAAGCTTCAGATGAGTTATCAGCCCTGTTATGTGTGGATTCTTTATCAGCCAGGGAGAACCCGGTAGATCAAACCTCAGTGATATTTCAGAGGGAGTCTAGTGAAGGGCTCACATACTGATGCCTGAGCACGGGCCTCAGGACAAAGATCATGCTTCTGTGGAGATGCCCACGGGAAGGAGGCAAGTTAGGGAAGTTGTTAGTTAATTTTCTGAGGCTCTGCTGGCCCATGGCAGACAGAGCTTGACCCATGGGACACTTGTTCCTGTTGGATTGTAGGGCCACCCACTCCCTATATGATGGCTTTATTTCATTTATATTCTCTGGAGTATCTTTATGCAAGTATTAGTAAATGTCTGCTCTTACATCAGGGGTGGCAACACATTTTCTTCACTTGTTTTTATCTGAAGATGAATTTGATGATTTTTGAGTGGTTGTCTTTACCTGAATGTCCTCAGTGGATGACTACATCTGACAGAACCTTTGTCCATGATCCTGGGAGCCTGCATTCCATTTTCTCTTGCCATTTCTTCTCTAGCACAGCTCAAAAAATGTACCCAAAGTAGAAGGCAGCTAGAATTGTTAGAAAGTCACCTTTGGGGCTGGAGAGATAGCTCAGAGGTTAAGGGTACTGGCTATTCCTCCAGAGGTCCTGAGTTCAATTCCCAGCAACTACATGGTGGCTCATAACCATCTATACTGAGATCTGATGCCCTCTTCTGGCATGCAGGCAGAATACTGTATACATAATAAATAAATTAAAAGAAAAAAGCCACCTTTTCAGTTTAAAGATCCAGTCTTGCCTCAGGAGAGGCCAACCAGGAGCATTTGGCTGTAGAGACCGCCTTTCTCCCTTGGGGCCCCAAGACATCTTACTGACCAACCTTCTTGTGCCCACCAGCTGCAGGAAGAGAATGAGAGGCTCCATGTCACCCTGTCTCAGGATCAGAAGAAAGCTGCTGCCCAGTCTCAACGCCATATCAATGCCCTCCGTGCCCAGCTTCAAGAACAAGCCAGGCTTATCGAGTCCCAGGAGGAGACGGTAGGTCCATCCTTTCCCTAGTCAGGGCTGGCAACTGCCAGTCCTTTTCTCTGTAAGGATGGCTCATGCAGTTGGTGTCATTAGACTCCTGAAGAGGAGTTAGGAGAAGCATGTAATTAAAGGCTGTAGCCACCTCCCTCTAGGCGGGAGTCATGTGGGCCATAGCAAATAGCTCATCCTGCCACCAGAGACCACACACGGCTGGCCCCAGACTGGCAGTTTTCATGTGACCTCATTTAAACCTCAGGCTGCCCTTCAAGATAGGCACTGCTGTCTCTTCACCTTTGTTTAGTGCAGTGGTTCCCATCTTTCCTAATGCTGTGACCGTTTAATGCAGTTCCTCATATTGTGGTGACTTCCCCAGCCATAAAATTTACCTTGTTGCTATTTCGTAACTGCCATTTTGCTACTGTTATGAATTGTAATATAAATATCTGATATGCAGGATATGGAATATGTGACCTCCCCATGGGGGTCGTGACCCGCAGGTGGAGAGCCATTGATTTAATGGCTGATAAAACAGGCTTGATTAAGTTTGCACAGGGTTTTCTGTAAGCGATGGTGACCCTGACTCTTGCGAGGCTGGTGGAACACAGAGCTGTTACAGTGCATTCACAGATGTAACTTATTAACCAGCCTCCTCTCCATAAAGGAATGGCTTTCAGAGAGATTTTCTAATAAGCCAGGGAGATAGAAGTTGCTGTCTGTCTGAACACCTCCTAAAGCTGGGTACCATGGCTCTTCACCCGTTCTTGGTAATTTTCCCAATCAGCCGTACTCAGCTCCCCTTTGGAAGACCAGGGTTGTGGGAAAGCTATCCCTATGCCCTCTGAGCTCCTCCTGCGGCCTCAGGTTCCTGTTCTCCACATAACCTTGGAGTTACTGCCACTGTCCGGCTCCTTCCTCCTGTCCTTGTGCCCCTTGTTAGTTATGCTTTTCTGTTGTCTAGCCACATTCTTTCAGTCACTGTATCCACCTGTCATGTGACAAACTTTTCCTGGGAGATGCAACATGCAGATCTACTCACCCCAGTTAGGGAACTATGACAGATACCATCAAAGTCCAACTTGGTGAATCAGTGAGTTTTACTGGGGTTACTTATGAGAGTATACATGTGATAGCTGCATCACCAAAGCCTTCCCCAGCATGGATGACCGCTCACAAAAGCTGGAAACCTGGAGCCCACTGCACAGCCTGAAGACAGCTCAACAAGCTGGAGAGTGTCCTTTACAAGAGACTCAGTTGGTCTAGGCTTCTTCCAGGCAGCTCACCTGGATTCTGCTTCTTGTAGGCAGCTCAGTTGGTCTCAGAACCGTCTTGAAACACAGCTTGTCTGAGAGTCTTCTTTGTAGCTTAGCTTCCTGAGAGCGGGACTCTCAGCTTTTATTCCTTATAGTGGCAGGGAGGGGCTTAGTGTATCTGGTCAGTTTCAGGGACTTCCTGAAGCTCTTTTGAGTAGGTTACCTTCCTGCTTAAGGAGTTTACTGCAAGATGGAATGTTTCAGTCTGGGAGGAAACTGTTAATACTACACTACCCTTGTCCCCTGCTGCCTGAAAGCACTGGCCTCTTTGCTGCTGTAAGCCACCTCTAGTTCACTCTGGAGGTGTGCCTTCAGAACTATTGCTTGGAAGCGGGAGTTGGTGGCTCACAATAACAGAATAAATACATAGTAGCGGTTTATATTGCTCATAGACCCAAAGAAGCAACACTTGCTGGCTGTGGTTAGCACCACATTGGAGCCACTGAGAACCCAGATTCTGATTTCATCTTCACATTCAGCTGTTGTAGTTACAGGATAGCATCGCAGCCCCAACAGTTACAATCATATTTGATGGAAGAAGTTGATGAAAAGGCCTCTTCCCAAACATTTCAAAAGTAATTACTTATTCCAGGTGTGTGTGAGCACGTGCACACTCCAGCACACAGAGAGAGCTCATAGGGCAAGTCTGGGGAGTTAATTTTTCCTTCTACCTTTATGTGGATTCAGGGATCTCATGCAGGTCACCAGGCTGGGGCAGCAAGCGCCTCTATCCACTGAGTTCTCTCACCAGCTCAAGAGATAGATGATTGGTCAAAGCTGTGTTGGTGAGCAAATATAACTTTAAATAAACCAGGTATACTGGCTGGCTTTGTGTGTCAACTTGACACAAGCTGGAGTCGTTAGAGAGGAAGGAGCCTCAGTTGAGGAAATGCCAGCATGAGATCCAGCTGTAAGGCATTTTCTCAGTAAGTGATCAATGGGGGAGAACCCAGCCCATTGGTGCCATCACTGGGCTGGTAGTCCTGGGTTCTGTAAGAAAGCAGGCTGAGCAAGCCCTGGGGAGCAAGTCAGTAATCAGCATCCCTCCATGGCCTCTGCATCAGCTCCTGCCTCCAGGTTCCAGCCCTGCTTGAGTTCCTATCCTAACTTCCTCTAATGATGGACTTTGATATAAGCCAAATAAACTCTTTCCTCTACAACTTGCTTTTTGGCTATGGTGTTTTATCACAGCCCTAGAAAAACTAGCTGCTAAGACACTGGGGAAGAGCATACTTTTTAAAAAGGGTTCTTCATTTAAAAAAATTATTTTGTGTGAATGGGTATTCTCCCTGAAAATATTGTCCTATCTGTGTGCCTGGTGTCCTTGGAGGTTGGAAGAGGCTGTGGGGTCCCCTGGAACTGGAATTACAGAAGGTGGTGACTAGAGGCTGCTGGGAACTGAATCTGGGTCCTCTGCAAGAACAGCGAGTGCTCTTGGCTGCTGCTTTATCTCTCCAACCCCACATAGTCAGTTTTTACAGTCGCTGAAGTAGAGATAGGTAAGGAGAAACAGTTGGGGATTGACATTAGATGAGAACTTCAACACCAGTACATGGTGACAAAAACCCAAGCCAGTGCAGAAGAGCGGATACACCGTATAGGTGAATGGTGCTTCATAGCCCAAGGCTGGGGAACAGCAGAGTTAGGGAATGAAAGGGAACCAGGACTTGAGGATGGACAAAGTTTCCTGTTTTGCATCTCTCTTCTGAAAGTGTTTCTTTTATTCAGAAGCCAGCTTGTTTCTTATTGGTTCCACATGGCAAAACAAACAGACAAACCAAAAAAACCAGAAACAGTTGGCTGCTAACAACATTTGACCTTTTGCTAGTTCAGAGCTCTCCGTCCAAACATGGATGGACAGCTATAAACTGGACGGACAGTATAACCATGGTCTAAGGTCAGGTTGCACATTCAACTGCCCAGTCTACAACCTGTGAGAGAGGAACGAGAATGCCTTTGTTGGGAAAGGTGTGTTGAGCAGATTAGGGAGTGACTGGGTCAGGCCTCCAGACAGGGATGCTGTCTGGCCTCTGTGCTCCCATGTGCCTCAGCTCAGGTGTCTGCATCCCCGGCTAGAATTTCTACCTTCTCCTGACCTGTCTTACATCAGTTTAACTTCCATACCAACTCTACCCCTGTCTCACTCTGCTTCCATGGGCTCCTGCCCTGAAGGAATAGTTCTCTGAAGACAGTCCTTCTGGTCTCACATCTCTCAGAGAGCTGAGCAGGCTGCCATCCAGGACTTCAGAATACCACTCTTCTTGGGGTGGTGTCTTTCCACATCCGCACAGTGGGAGATGGCGTGTGCATGGGGCTAGTTAGTAAGCCCTTAGTGGGTGGCATGGCAACAATGGCTGCCCTTTCTTTCCTATTCTGGGCAGATCTACTGCTCAGAGTGGAACGGAGTCCCTCCAATGTCCTCTGCTGCTGTAACCTGCTCTATCTTGCCTTTTGCAGATCCAGACTTTGTCCCTCAGGAAGGTGGATGGTAAGTCTACCGTGGGAGCTTAGTATCAGTCTTTGGGGCCATCCTGGGCTCTTTCTCTTCCACTGCCCAGGTGACTTATGGGTAGAGGAGTGGTGATAGCAGTCCAGGGGACATGCAGTGTGGTGTCAGGCTGGAACTGGGCAAGGTGCAGGGCTTATGGGAAAGAGGGTGTTTTTGTGAAGGCCTCCCAGCAGCTTTCACAGATTCATGTCTGGTTTGATTTTCTCCAGTGGGAGGGAGAAGAAGGTGAGGGTCTTGGGCATGGTGTTCGTGAAGCCGGGCCCTTAAGTAGCCTTTTTGATTCACCATGTCTGTAGCATCCCGTTAATAACGACAGTGCCGGGCCAAATTCTTCAGGCCCATCTTCATATTACGCTGTGATTAACATGGGGTGAGTGTTATTACTCTATCTTCCACATAAGAGAACGGACACTGAGTGAGGTTCAGGGACTTGTCAGCTCCTGCACAGCCGTTGTGGGCAGAGCTGAGGTGTGAACCCGATCTTTCTGCCTCCAGTGTCTGTGTTTGTGACCTTTTCCCATTCTGCCCCTCTGGTAAAGATGAATCTGTGGAGGGCTGGCCTTTACAGGCCAGCACTCACTTGGGAGTACTTACTAAACCTTTCTTTGTGTCGAGGGTGGGCTGCAGGGTTCTGGTGCCACTAATTGTTCCTGTCTTCTCAGAAGTCCAAGAGGTGCCAAAGACTGTGGCCACAGAGGAGGAGGACTCTTCTGAAGAAGGTGGGTCTCTCTCTCTCTCTCTCTCTCTCTCTCTCTCTCTCTCTCCCTCCCTCTCTCCCTCTCTCCCTCTCTCCCTCTCTCCCTCTCTCCCTCTCTCCCTCTGTCAGTGAAGAAAGCAGATAGGCTGCATTATTCTTGGCTGAGGTGGTTGGTGATTTTCCTAGGAAAATCAGTATAGCAACTATTTGTGGTAAATGAGTCAAAGTGCTCAGGCCATAGGAGCCCCTAAGTAATGGTTCTCAACCTGTGGGTCTTGACCCCCTAGGTGCCATATCAGATGCATAACAGATATTTACATTACAATACATGTCTTAACTTGTCTACGAAGATAGGACTTGTCTAACATTCATATCATAACTTGCCAACCAGGATGTCTCTGTATATGTCTATGTCTCTTTCTGCCAAGTAGGATGTCAGTTCCCAGGGAGGTCCTAGGAACTTAAACTTCATTTGACCACTACTCAAAATAGAAGTCTTATTCCAAATAATTTTTTATATTGGTACAGGTGTCTCTCTTTTGGAGCCCATCTCAGAGGCAGCTTATAAAGGCAAACACCATAAAAACTTACACATAGATACAGGAATCACTGCTGGGTGGTTGGCTCGGGTTCAAGTTTATTGTGGGTAACTATACAAAACAGTTCTATTGACTTCTATCATGATTGGTTTCCAAAGGCATAGACCATAGCAGAATATATAATCAATCAGTCTTGGCATTAGAACATTTCCTAGTAACAGCAGAACTATTTGAGGAAATTTCCTTATAATGGTAGGCTAGCCAGATAACTGTAACCTAGGCCTTAACATTTTATCTGGTCCTTAATGTTTTACGTAGGTCCCAACAATACGGGTGGGGTTGGCTTGGGAGGGACCATGTATGTGCATTTTTAGGTCAAGTAATTCCAATATATACTACACTGTTGGAGGAAAGACTGTGACCTAGAGAGGGAACTTGGGGGGAAGATATTGTGCGGGTTTAATCCGATTCAGAACAGAATCAGATTTAGTGGTAGCAGAGAAATCAGTGGCAGGAGATGGTATCAGGTGGAGGCTGGGCTGAGGCTGGAGCTGGTCTGGCATCTGAGACCAGAGTGGAGTCCAGGGAAGAAGTTGTTTTCAAGGCTTAATTCTAACCCAAACGCTATAAGTTGACCTGTCTCAAGACTGACTGAGCTCAGACCTTTGAGATCCAGAGTGGCAGGAGATGGGGGTATAGAAGGTGGGTGGCAAGTCCGAGGCAGTGACACCCAGAAGGAAAAATGTCTCATCTTCTGGCCCATGGGTGGGCATGTGGGAGTGGTCTGCTCGACTCACTCCGGAGACAGGAAGTGACTGGAGTCAGGAGTTACCAGAGACAGGAGTTACTGGCAGGTACAGCAGGGCTCTGGGGATGCTGGTCTCAGGCGGGAGTTCTGACCTTGCTTACTGTCTCCTCTTGCAGAGCTGGAGGCCTCCCGTGAGGAGCAGCAGGAGCAGTGGAAGGTGTTAGCAGCTCTCAGGAAAAACCCTACTTGGCTGAAGCAGTTCCGGCCCATCCTGGAGGACACCCTGGAAGAGAAGCTGGAAGGCATGGGGATAAAGAGGGTCAGTCCCTGGGCCACCGTTGAGTTAGTCATTTGATTATGTGTTTAAAGACAGGCTTGCTGTATAGCTCAGGCTGGCCTTGAACTCACACCAGCCTCCAGGGAGCTGGAATTAATGTAGTGTGACACTACCACTAGGGACTGTTTTAAAGACTGAGACTTAGAACAAAGAGCAAAAGTGTTGTCACCTAGACAGGTGATTTACTGTTCTTTACATTGCAGGGTCAGTTGTTTCTTCCTGTGCTCATTTCTGTCTGGGAAGCTTCTGTCAGCTCTCAGCAGCCTAGAGGTCTCCCTGCTCTTTTCTCTTCTAAGTCCTGGTCCCTCTCCATGTTCTCCACTCATTGGGTACTCGCATCTCTAATCAGATGGCAAAGGACAGTCAACTGGCTGAGTCTGGTCTGTGGACCAGTCCCATTTGCATGAATGTCTATCCGAGCCCACTGTCTATGTGTGGAGCATGTGGCTGTTCCTGGATGTGTTTGGGCATGGGCATCAGGGACATCTCTGAGGCCCAGGAAACTTCTAGAAGTGCACACTGCTGTTTGCAGTCCAGTTTTCGAAACATCGTTAAGCAGGGAAAGACACAGTAGTGCCAGGAGAGGTGTGAGGTGAAGCAGGCCATGCTCTCACGCTGGATTGGGTTGTACGCCAGGAAAGCCCTATCAGGTCTCTCACTGTGTGAACCGTGATGCAGCCCTTTGCCAAAGCCTGTGTAGTGTGTGGGAATAGAGCTCCCAAACCCCGAGTCTTCAAGGTTTCTGCGATGGGTGAAGCTCACCCTCTGTTCCCATGTAACCTCCTCTGACATGACATGACAGACACCAGTCACAGTGACTCTATGTCAGCAGCTATAGGCAAAGGGGGAGGGAGCTTGTGCATACCAGGGTAAACTTCTGTCTCCTCTAGGACACAAAGGGAATTTCAGCTCAGACTCTCCGACGCCTGGAGCCTGTGCTGAGAACCCAACGGGAGCAGACGGCCCGAAGCTTCCGAGAGTTTCTGAGTCTGAGGGAAAAACTGAGCAAGGAAGTGAACAGCAGGGTGAAGAAGAGATGGGAGAGTACTGCTGTGGCGTCCCTGCCAGATGGCCAGCCTCCAGGTGAGCCGACCACGGCCTGAGGAGAGGATTCTGCTCTGCCTGAGGTGGAGGGTACTGCTCCTCCTTCCGTCAGGACACTTCTCTGAGGAACTGACCTTGTGGGATCCTCAAGGGTGGAGTTGGGTTGAGACCCTTGTGCTTTGGGTGGAAGATTAAAGAATGCCCAGGCTCCTTTCCATCATTTCCTCCATTGTGGGTGTGCACAGCCAGAAGGATGCCATTTGTGCAATTAAAGTTTGCCGAGTGCAGCCTGCATATCTCTGGGGACATTGAAGAGGATTTTAGTTGGTACGTGGACCAATTATTTTACAACTTATTCTTATTTGATACATGAATTGGGAAAAAAAAATTCTGGCGTAGTTGGGTAATAGAATTATTTCTTGTATACATATAAAGCCAGTATTTTACATGCTATTACTTAATGCAACATGTTAAAGAGATAACAGGGCAGGTAGTATAAGAATATGGTAAAAATTATGTGATTATCTGAGAAACTCCATCCCAAGTCACCCTCACCTGAACGTTTCTAAAGGAAGGACAGTTCTAGGCCTTGCAGATGTCTCTGACAGACAGGTAGCTCCCCTGCTTGGATCTGAACTTGTATTCCTTCGCTCATTCGCCCAAATGTCCCTACACTTAGTACAGTATATGCTTGCCTCGCATCACGCCAGGACCTGCCCTGTCACAGGAGAACGCAACAGGGACTGATGGGAGTCGGCCAGACCCAGGAGTGCTGGACACTCAGGAGAGGCAGGGCAGGAAGCATGGCAGTGTCCTCGGAGTCCTGGCTCTCAGGGGAAAGGAAGGGTGTCTGCTGCTTCTAGGTGTCAGCTCCCCTCCCCCATTGCTCTTGTTCTAAAGCCAGGAGAAAGCCTCTCCTTCCCTCATCACCCCTTCCCTAGCTTTGGGGTTCAAGTCCTTAACTGTGAGAAGAGATAGATTTTCACGACACTTTTTTCATGACATTTCCTTCCAGCTCTGAGTCTACTTCCCCTCACATTCCCCATGAGACCTGTGACAGTGCTCACCTACACCTGCTTAGAGTCTAAGGGGTTCTCAACATGTGGGTCGTGAGCCCTTCGAGGGTCGAACGACACTTTCCCCAGGGGTCGTATATCAGATATCCTGCATATCAGATATTTACATTACAATTCATAACAGTAGCAAAATTACAGTTATGAAGTAGTAGTGAGATAATGGTACGGTTGGGACTCAGCACCACATGAGGAACTGTGTTAAAGGGTCCGAGGCGTTAGGAAGGTTGAGAACCACTGGCTTAGATCACGTGTCTTGCTTGGGAGCTTGCTTCGGGATGCAGCGGCAGTTGGACGGGTTTGCGCCTGCCCCTTTGTTCCGTGGAGCCGAGAGCAAGTTCCTTCATAGCTCAAAGTCCCTGTAAAGCAGGAGAATCACCGCCTGAAGATGTGCCGGGTGTCATACAGATCTATGCAAAAAGCTCCGCTTAGTGACTGGTACACGGTAGCTGCAAGCTGTTATTTCCTCTCTGCAGACTTGTTTGCCTTTCACCTTTCTTCAGCTTACCTCTTCTCACTTATGAATAAACAGATTCTCTGAGAGCAGTGTATCACAGACACTTTTGACCTTGAGCTACAGCAGTAAGAAACACTTCTCGATGAACTCAGTGCATACATAGTTCTGTGGAAAGCACTTTAGCTCCCTGTGAGACACTTCCTCTCCAGTTTGCTTTCCATGAATAAAACATCTCTGGGTGCCCTGTCTCCCAGTGGGTCCCAATGCAATGTGGAAAACAGAGGAGTGGTCTCTAACTGCCTGCCTTGGGCATTGGTTACAGCAACCTTGACTACGAATTGAAAGGTCCTGGTAGCGCTTGGTAGACATGTAGTCCTGCAGCGACCTCTGGTGGCAACAGCATTTTCCTGCAGGACCTCTCGCATTTAAGGTTGTGAGTAGTCAATGCTGAGAGCAAAGTCGGCCTGGGTCCTCAGACTGACTGACTTCTCTTGTCTTCTGTAATGATGGTGTGACCTTGAGACACTGAATACTCTCCGAAAGTCTGACAAAACTGGATCTTTGTCTCAGCAGAGGGACTCATGATGTAGGGCAATGGTCAGTGTATTATGGCTTAATTATCTGTGGTGTAGACTTTCTTCTATATTATTTCAGGACTACAGGCCCCGCATTGGCACATTCTGTGTCCTTTCTGTATTTCTAGTCAAAAACCAGCGGATCACACTGGCCCCAAGGGAGGTCCGGCCAAAGACCAGGACGCTGACTGTGGCACTGCCGTCTAAGCCGCCAGAGCCTTCTACGACAACTCTTCAAGGCCACAGCAGCCGTGGCCCCGGCCTCACCCAGGTGTCCACCCCCATTCCACGCCCCAGAGTGCATGGACCCTCCAGTATCCCTGTTTCCCCTGGGCCCGGGCTGAGGTGAGCTCTAGACTTTGGCCTGTTGTAGGGTCGGTGGTGGTGGTGCTTGGCCTCAGGAGGTCTATCCTAGACCCTTACAGAGCTCTGCATTACAGGGGAGGGAAGGGGACAAACAGGCATATAGGAGGTGCCTCAGGCCGTATTCCTCATGTGCTTCTGAGAAGAGACTGAGAATCCTTTACTCCCAGTTCAGGCAGGCCTTCCCTCCCCTTCCCATGTCTCCCTCCAACCCACAGCTGAAGTGGAAGGGTAACAGCCTTAGGCACTGTGAGCTCTCTGCTTTGCCTGAAAGAGGAGTGGGGCTGGCTCTGGGCAAACCAGAAAGGCAAAGTCTGGCTTTAAAGTATTTTTTTTGTCTGTGTTCCCTTCATTTGATCTTGCAGCAGCACCCCACCTTTTAGTTCTGAAGAAGAGCCAGAGGAAGACGTCGTGCAACGCGTGTCTCTTCAGCCTCCTAAAGTTCCCTCTAGGTCAGCACCCCAGCCCGAGGACAACTGGGGCTGGTCTGATTCTGAGACCTCAGAGGAGAGTGCCCAACCCCCTGGGAAGGACTCAGGCGGGCTGGCTTCCTCAGGTGAGTTCTTCTCCAGCTCCGGTTTCTCTGTGCCCTGGAATGGTGTTTCTGACCTGGCATTTCTTCTTTGTCACAGAAATGCCAGGAGACTTGGGTAAGGCTTATTTTACCCCATATTTGTGTCACTGGGTGTCTAAATGTTGGAGGTTTGGGGAGCCCCCTCACCTCCTTTGTGTTTCATGGTCTTATCAGCAAAGCAGGCCATCTGAGACCTAGCTCCCTTCTTGGGCTGTATGGGAGAAACAGCCAGCAGAAAGTAGCCAGAAGCCTCGAGTAAGTCTCCACCAATAGCCTTGGGCCACAGTGCCATTTTATCTGTGTAGGAAAGAAATATTCTTTGACATTTGCTTCAGAGACAAACAGGATACCAGTTGTTGATGGAAAGGGCTTTACAGAGACTGAAGCTAAGTTTCCCGGCAGTTGGAGTGAATTGTTCTTTAAACTTACCACGCTCTATCTTGTATTGCATTATGATGAGGAGTTAACCATTTCTCTTCTAAATAATGGCATCCCAGCCTTTCAGGGTTCCCTTATAAAACCCACCGAAGGGCTCGATGCCTCTGGTTCAGGTTGTGTCTCTCAGCCCAGGTTGAGCTGGAGAATGTGGAGCTTACAGTTTTGACTTTGCAAAGGAGAAGCAAGGGGAGCCCTGAGGTTTGCAGTCTGTAAGTGCTTATCTTAATGGACTCTGCAATGCTTCATCATGCCTGCAGCATAGTCCAAGCCTGTCAGCCCATTAGAAGCCACCAGGGTTAGCTTTCTAGATGGAGGCTTGCTACCTTAGCAAGCGGGCTGATAGGCTGGCAAGGTGATGGAGCTGGGAGGTCAAGAGTCTACTGATACAGTTTTGGCTGTGTTACTCTTCGAGTGTCCTTGTGCAAAGATTCTAGTTTCTTTGTTGTAAAAAATGACATATGTTAACAAGACAACTAATAAGGGGGTCAAGCAACTCACTGCTTGGCACAGAGTAGGAATTTAATAAACATTTCTTTCTGTCTTTTAAAGACTCATTTGTAATTGTGTGCAAGTCTGTGCCTGGGTATGTGCAAGTGATACAGATGCCCGTGGAGGCCAAAGGAAGATGTTGGAATCCTTGAGGCTGGAGTTTTAGGTGGTTGTGAGCTGACTGATGGTAACCAAGCTCAGGCCAAATGAGGTAGACACTCTTAAGCACTGAGCCATTCAGCCCCAATAACCACAATGATCAGTCATCCAAGGGCAGTTACAGCTCCAAAAGTCTGCAGAGAGTCTTAGCATTTGAATCCAGAGAGCTGGGTGAAGTTTGTGCTATGCTTCTCGATCATCTTGGTTTACCACGAGTCTGGAGCCCACTGATAATCTGAGTTACTGGTTAACACCTGTTTCCTGCATGGAATTCACAGGAAGTTGTTCTTGTGATACTAACATTACCTCTGTGTTTGTCTGTGGGTGGAGGTGTTGAAGGAAGACACAGGAGTTACTTTTATATTACTGTGACTAAAGTACCCAAGAACAAGATAAAGAGAGGAATTGTTTATTTTGGTGCTTGGTTCCCAGATGCCAGCCCATCAGTCACTGTAGGGAGGTCTCTGGAGCAGATCATATCCCAGCAGACAAGGATCCAGAGAAAGGGTTATAGGGAAAGGCTAGGACATGCCCACGGTAAGCTACTTCTTTCAACTGGGTCCCACCTTCTACTTTTTACCACACTTCTAAAATGTCACCCTAGGATGAATCAATCAGGGGATTGATCCACTAATCCACTGGTCAGATCAGAGCCCTCAGGACCTAACAGCTTTTGATAATGTCTCACAGGCACTGCCCGAGGTGTGCTCTACTAATTCCCTAGGCCATTCCCAATCCAGTCAGCTTGACAAGATGAACCTTCACACATTGCCTGACAGCATCTTTGGTTCATGAATTACAGGGTTACATGAATTAAAGGGAAGGCTGCTTCTGCCTTGGATTCATTAGAGGGACGGTCTTCCTAAACCTCCACCAGCAGCCACACCAAACTCAGCACAGTTATATTATCAAGGCGCTATTGTTGTTTGTTTGTTTGTTGTTTGTTTTTGCTCTATCTATCTATCTATCTATCTATCTATCTATCTTTATATTATTCAGGCTGCTTTAAAAAAAAATTATCTAGTCATTCTAATCCTCTTGGAACCAGGCTAATATTATCCTGGACCTCCTGTCTTCTTTTCCCTCTTTGGGGGAGGGGAGATGCTAATCCTGTCTTTTTCCTCTTGACTTTCTTTCTATCCATCTGTCTACACTGGAGCCTAGACATGGTCCAAAGGGACGAAGCATTCATTCTCCAGGCTTGTTCCAGTGACATGGCTACTTGTTCCCCTTCCAGGAACACTGGTGCAGTCGATGGTCAAAAACCTCGAGAAACAGCTTGAAACTCCAGCAAAGAAACCTTCTGGAGGAGTCAGTATGTTCCTAAGGCCCAACGCTGCCCTTCAGAGGTCTTCCACACCAGCAAGAAAGTCTCAGGTGGGATGCTTGAAGATGACTTTATCCCATAGAGAGCCAGCTCCACATTTGAGAGTTTTAGAGTGAAGGGTTGGGGAAAGACTAAGCAAGTATCAGTTTGATCCTGAGAAGGCCATTGCATGTGACATTGTCTCCTTTGCTGCTATATACGTAGAAAGATGACCACTTGGATTTTTTTTTCCTGAGGCCATGTTTAAAAAGCCTTTTGGCTCATTATATAAGTACTTTCCGTGGAGGTTTAGTTCCTAATCTCCTATCCTCGAGAGCCTCCTGTTGTGGCTGCTGTCTTCCTGTGCTGTCTCTTCCATAGTCCAAGTCTCCTCAGCGCTCACTTCATAGAAGACCCTAACATAGGGCTGGATGTAAAGCAACATCCACCAAGGGCAGGCATCGGAGTGGTGTCACACTCCATCAGATGGAGAAAGGTACACCTTTGTCCCAAGTACTCTAGGTGGTAGGTGCCTCTTGCCACTACACCTCCTGATGGCCTGGCCTTTCTCAGGCTGTAGCTGCCATGGAATTTGCAGACTTATCACACATGTGATTACCAGATTCTTTTCTCCACCTTCTCCCTCCCAGGGAACAGCTGCCACTTTCTGTTATTTTCTAGGGTAGAAAAACATAGAATTCTTTTTACTTCACTTCTTTCAACCAAAAAAGGTGGGTTTTTTTTTTTTTGAGATGATTAGGATGTTGCTAGCAACAACAACAACAGCAACAACAACAACAGCAACAACAGTAACAGCAACAACAGTAGCAACAGCAGCAACAGCAACCACAACAGTAGTAGTGAGCAGCTGTCTTTTGAGTGTCACTGATGGCACTATCACCTGCTAGGCAGGCTGTCATTGAGCAATCCCCTTGCTCTCTCACTATTTGTTGTTTAATAGCACTGTCTTCCTACTTTTTTTTTTAATCACACAATCACATCTTGGAGTTTATGTAAAGAGCCCCACGTTCTCCTGCTCTCCATTCAGAAAGACCACCAATAGGGAAAACAGATGGAGGAAGGTGCTGTCTAGGCCCTGGATGGGTTCTTCTTACATGCCAGGATGAAATACAGGGAATGTTGTATGTCAAAACCCAGGCCCAGGCAGCCAGCGGAGGTACAGCGAACCGTGGCCGGGAACTCCTGGCCCGGCTGTTACTGTAGTCTGGATGGAGCCTGGCCCCCAGCAGACTTTGGTCTTCCCATTGGCTGCAGCCCAGACCCATTTCAGGCTGTTATATTGCTCCCCGTCTCCTCTCACATTTAGAGTTTATCAGGCAGCTGTGAGCACCAGCCTGTGAGGAAGGGTCCTTTCAAATAAGGTGCGTCAAATAAGGTCTTAAGAGCTTCAGAAGTTCAAGGCTCTGGGCTTCCAGTTCTGTTAATGTGAAGAGTTAAAAAAAATCTGCCTATAATATTATTCCCATCTACCTTTTTATTACATATTGTGTTGCTTTCATCTTGGAGTCCGTGTAAAGATCTCTACGTTCTTCCTCTATTGTGAGTGAACGTGAATAGTCTAACACAGATAGATGATACTGTGAGCATGCGTGCCGCCCAGGTTTAAATGCAAACATGAACAGTCAGATCAACATATGAACCTCTCCAAGGTGCTTGCCTTGGCCTCGTTAGTAGGATGTTAGCGGATCCAGTCACTGTGGACCTGAGTCTCTGGAGCAGGTTTTCAGAGGCAGGGAGCTTGAAAGGCAGGGCGAGGAGTCTCCTCTCCCAGTTGCTCTCATGTCTATCATCACTTCCCCCCGTGTCTGAACTCTCTGCCACTCTCCTGCATCTATTAAAGTCTGCTTCCTTCTCCTCTTCTATCTCTGCAGCTTTCAGAAGATGAGAGTGATTTGGAGATCTCGTCTTTGGAAGATCTCTCCCACGACTTGGGCCAAAGAGGGAAGCCAAAGCCTTTGTCCCACTCGAAGCTTCCAGAAAAGTTTGATGCTAGCCCTTGGAGCTCTGGGTCACGACCCAGGATTCCTGGCTGGTGATTCTGCCTATGTTTGCCAGAGAGCTTAGCCTTGTTTCTTGGCTGGTCTCACCCAAGTGGAAGAGACTGTCAGGCCTCCTGCTCTCGCTGGCAGCCAAGAAGTCTTTCCCTTGAAGAGAAGCAGAACAGGAGACAGATGGGACCTCTATCCATTCCCTGACCGCTACTCCAAAAGGCTGGGTCCTGGTGCTGTGTCTTATGTAAATGTGAGAAGGATTGTAACAGGACTTCCAAGTGTTTCTTCCATGATCCCCATATCCAGCCCAGACTGAAAGTAGTTATTGTTTCTATGTTTTTGTCATCTGCAGGTCACTGCAGAGTTGGGTCCTGGGTCAGTTACCAGTTAGGTAGTCTCTGTGGACTCTCTAGCTTTTCACTACTGAGTTGGGGTGCAGACAGAGGCAGGAGGTGAAAAAAGTGCCTGCTGCCAGGGCCAGTCATAGTAATTGAGTCCTAGGCATTAGAGTGTTGTGGTGGCATGGGAGAGGCTAGCTACCCTACTGTCATTTCTGTTGCTGTGATAAGCACTCCAACCAAAAGCACCTTAGAGGAAGAAAGGCTTTGTTTTTGCAGTAGGTGAAGGCTGGAATGTGTAGGTAGGCCTACTTGCTGTTCCACACAGCACTACCTCTGACCAAGGAATTTACTTCACAGTCAAAGAAACATACTAGGAGGATACTGCTTGTTAACTGCAGCTGTACGTACTCAGCTAGCTTTTTTTTTTTTAAATAAAGTTCAGGACTATCTGCGTAGGGATGGTACTGCCCACAGTAGGCTGAGTTCTCCTATATTCATGAACAATCTAGATAATCCCTCACAGACATTGCCCTCAAAGCACTTCCTCTATGGAGGCTCTCAGCTGTGACAAATGGCTTTTTAAAACTAACCAGGACACCATTCCACCCAGCCCAGGATGACCTTGGAGAAAGTCTCAGAGTTGTGTTACCTGGTAGAGCTTGGTCATGGGTAACAAAAAAGAGCAATTTGGATGAAGCCTCTTGTCCCCATAGAACCACAAATTTAATTTTTGAGATCATTTCTGAATGAGTTTTTAATATATTGACTGTATTTTTGGGTAGAGAGGGGTTGGGTATTTTTGAGACAGGGTTTCTCTGTGTAGCCCTGGCTGTCCTGGAATTCTCTCTGCAGAACAGGCTGACCTTGAACTCAGAGGTCTGCCTGCCTCTGCCTCATGAGTGCTGATATTAAAGGTGTGCATGGTAGCATGTGGCTTAGATTCTATTTTTTTTTAGTGTGAAAGCATTTATTTATTATAGTGAACATTTAAATATAATGATGTATACACCTCTTTATTATGCCGTTCTTTGTTATTTTTCCAAGCTTTGTGGAAACCGAGGGTGGTGAAGAGGGAGTGAAACAGCGTCCACCTCAGTTGTGCCAGCCTAGGGCCTTTGGGATGCAATGATCAAGGTGTAGGAAGACAGCCAGTTTTGCACACTTGACCTGGGCAAGGCGAAGGTGGCTGAAATGGGATCTGGCAGAAGAAGATTGCAGAGTGGAAAAAGCATGTCCTATGTCTGTGAAGGGACACCATGATCAAGGCAGCTCTTATAAAGGAACAAATTTAGGAGGCTGGCTTACAGGTTCAGAGGTTTAGTCCATTGTCATCATGGCAGGGAGCATGGGCATGCAGGCAGACATGGTGCAGACAACAGAGAGAGAGAGACTGACTGACTCTGGGCTTGGCTTGGGCTTCTGAAACTTCAAAGCCTACCCCCAGTGATAAACTTCCTCTAACAAGACCACACCTCCACCAACAAGGCCACACCCCCAATCCTTTCAAATAGTACCACTCCCTGGTGACCAAGCATTCAGATCCATGAGCCTGTGGGGGCCATGCTTATTCAAACTATCACAAGGTAGAAATGGAGAACCCAGGCAGCAATGCAGGGGCTCTCACAGGAGAGCTTCAAAGCCAGGACTGTGGAGTCCCCACGTGGCTGAGCTTGCTAAACCTTTGTAACTGTACTGTGCTTTGTCATTGGCTGGGGGATCCTGGGGTCACATGAGGCCTCAGCTGAGTGTGGTTGAACTCTGTCAGCCAATTATATTCCTTGCATCTGAGTAGCAATTTTAATATCCTACGAGAAAAACAGTAATGGTAAACACATGTTTGTCACAACAAGATATTATTGCTAACTCCTATGGAAAATTTCAGACCCGTACAAGGGAAGGGAACCGTATGATGAGTCCATGTCCTCATCGCTGGGCTCCATTAGCAACTCAGTTGCCAGCATTGCTTCACCTATTGCCAGCCATCACTCCATTCAGGCTTCTCCGGACCTCTCAGTGGTCCTGAAACTTGGGCTAGGCGCTGATGTTCTTATAGGAGGAGCACGTAAGGAGTGATGGGAGACATGCACTGCACCCACTGCACCGGAGGGAATGAAGGGATGTGGTGGCTGGGTAGGGGGAGGGCTAGGGCCAAATTGATGTAAAGGAAATAGTTTGGTGAGTTAGAGCAGGGGACTCTTCACGGACACTGGACAGGGTTGGGAGGTAATTGTCGGGGACCCCACAAGCTCCAAGGCCTCCAGGGGGACAATCCACAGGAGGTAAAGAAGGAAACTCAGCACCAGATGATTTTTCAAAACATCTAGAGTCTGACCTCATGGTTTATTCTTACATATTTAAGCGCGGTAAAACTTTGGGAAAAGGTTTTCACGTGACAGTTATCACAACAAAACTTTAGGAATAGCTACATAGGAACTCCCTGGCAAAGGAGCAAAGCACCTGGGACCTTTACAGTAAGGATGAGTTCTATTGGCTGATAAACAGAGCTCAGGGCTGAGGCCTAGTTTTGCAATAAGTACAAGGTTGGGTTTTATTGGGTTTTATTGATGGAGGATTGCAGAGAACATGGTTCTTCCTTCATATGGATGATTTCTATACACTGAGAGGCAAAGCTCAGGCAATTCCCAGGATTTGGTGGGAAATTCAGGTGGAGGCTGGCTCCTAATAAGATAGCAATCACTAGTGCTTGACTACATAGTGTTTGACTACGTCTGCTCCAGCATTCCAGGTGACCAGGCATTATTCATTTTCTTCCTTTGACAAGCCTGGTTCCTTCAATGTTTCCTTTAAGCTGAGCCTCTTACAGGTAATTCCCCTTGACTATCTCATACCATTAAGAGTTGACAGGTCTGATGGCTATCCCAGTAGCTGTGTGATGAGGAAGGAAGATCGGGGTGTGTGGGGTGGTGGAAGCTCCCTTAGATTCTGCTGGCATTTACTCAGCTTTAGAAAAATGGTGCTTATGGTATGTCATCCCTGTCTCTCCATCATACTCTGACCTCACAGAACTCGAGCAGCACGTTCTATTGCAAGCCTCTCTGACACAAGTGCTCAGGGAGCTGCTCTTTTGCCTCTGTTGTGTCTGCTCCTGTGGACGGCTGCATAGTCTGCTTGTAGGGCCAACTATAAGTGCAAGAAAGCTGATGCTGGTGGAGCAAAGCCTATTTGGTGTAGAAAGAGATGTAGAGAGGGGATTTATTAGGGAAGGTCACTTCTGGAAGACAATGGTGTGGGTCAATGCAAGAGTTCAGGTGTGAGAACCAGGGGAACTCAGTGCAGCTACCAGTCTAAGGTCAAGGCCCTGCAGACCTTCGAGGTGCATTTCTCGGGGGCCTGAGGTGAGAGAGTCTGGAGATTTGACATTGAGGAAAGAGAAAGTAAGACAGAGCCACAGAAAGGGCTGCTGGTGGGTGAGCATAACATCGAACACCAGAGCTTGGCCCAAGTTCTTTGTGCATATTGACTGACTGACCCTCACGGCAAGCAAACTTTCAGGCTGGTGTATGCATTTTGGGGCCTAGGGCACCGCTTGAGTTTAGGCACCACTAGGTGGTGCAACTGGACTGTGACCTGGGCAGCCTGGTCCTGCAAGTCTCCCCATCCTCATCTTTTTCTTATAGAGGGCCAAATTTAGAGGTTCAGCGTTCAAGAGCATTCTCTGTTTCCTCTTGCTACATGGCCATCATTTATCACAGTGTTTTAGTGTTGTGATCCATGGAAACTGCCTTTGAAAGAATGAAAGCAGGTTGTAAAGTTTCATCTACTGCCTAATGATATTTGGAAGCCTCTTGAAAAAAAGCTAGTGTAGTTAACTTCTTGTTGCTGTTTTCCTCGTTACTATGGAAAGCGTCGAGCATTTATAAGAATAATAGAGCAGACAGGATAATGACCTTGACACCCCCATTACTCAGCGTTAACCGTTATCAGCATGTGAAGGAAGACACTTGCCTACTGTACCTCTCACTGTCTTTCCAAGTAATCCTACCAGCATATCTACAAATATTTCTCTTTCTGAGAATCACTGCCTTTCCAAAAAAACCAATCTACCAGCACCACAGTCCAGCAAAAATTGGTAAGATTTTTCTAAATATTGTAGAACATTTAGTATCCACAATTTCTCTTTCTTTCAAAAATACAAGTCTTAGTCTACAGATGTCTTTTTAATTTCTCTTTCTTGGGACTAGCATGACTCAAGTTTCCCCCACCCCCAATCTAATTTTTATTGTCACAAAAACATACAGTACAACATAAAAATGACAATTTTAACAATGTTTAAATGTCCAGTTGTATCCATTATTTTTCAGTACCGAGGTGACCAAAATGCCTGACAGAAACCATTTTTAAGAGGAAAGACTTTTGGCTCCCAGTTTCAGGGGCATTGCAGTTCACCACATGGGAAGGTGTGGTGGAGTTGTTGAGTTTGAGGCTGGAATGTGTAGTAGAGATTCTTCATATGGTGACTGAACAGGAAACAGAGCTCACGCTGGAAGCAGGGATAGGTAAAACCTTGGAAAGCTGACCCTTAGTGACCTACTTCTGCCAGCCAGGCCACACCTTCTAAAGGCTCCTCCACAGCCTTCAATACTGGGATCAATAGAGTATGAGCAGTAGGGGACATCACAGATGGAAGAGAATGGTCCTCGGACACTAAATACATTCAGACTGTTCTGCAGCCATCGTCATCACCACCACCGCCACTATCATCACCACCACCGCCACTGTCATCACCACCACCGCCACCACCACCATTCACACCAAAGAAGGCTGTCATCATCCTAAACGGAAAGTGTGTGCTTATGAGTGGTAAAGCACCACCCCATTCCCTACTGTTTTCAACCCTTGGCAGCCACTTAGTTTCTGTCTCCATGGATTAGATTACTCTAGGGAGCATCATATAAATGAGATCATATGGTATTTGGCCTTTGTGACCCGCATTTTCCACTTAGCATAGTGTCTTCAATATCTGTCCATATTGGGGCCCATAAAGGAATTTCCCCCATTGCCGGCTAAATAATACTCCATTTTATGGGAGCTTGAGAGATGTCTGAGCAGGTGAGAGCACTTGCTCAGAATCAAGCAAGAGCACTTCCAGAGAATCCCCGTTTAATTCTCAGGGGATCTGACACACTCCCTTCTGGCCTCCTCAGGTACTAGGCATACAAATAGCATGCAAGTGGCATACACACATACATGTAGGCAAAACACTCATACACATAAAATCAAATAAAAAGATTAAAGAAAAGGTTCCATGTTGTGCATATACTGCACTCCACTCATTCATTGGTGAGGTAACACAAAGAAGTGATAAATGTTTGTAATGTTGGAAATGCTAATTCTTATTGCTATCTTGAGAACAGGCCTTCAATGGGCCTAAGAGTCTCTGACTAGAACCCACCTCTTAGGGTCCTCCACCTCAACATCACCACACTGAAGACCAAGCATCTAACACATAGACCTTTGGGGGTGGGGTAACAAATTCAATAATAAACT